AGGCTACTCACCTTGCCCTTACTTGTCAGCCAAATGACTTAACCTTTTAGGAGTCATCTCCTTGCTTGACAAGGTTCCTTTCCTCCCTGGCCCATAAATTATCCTCCTAGCCAAACAATTCAACTGAAAATTACATACAATTCATCCCTTTATAGCCCAGTAATTTCATTCACTCATAAAAATTTTAGAGGAAAAATATGTTTTTCTACATGCATTGTTGAGGTCCTGGATCTCCATCAATGTGGACCGCTTCAGAAACTTTCTTTAACTCAGAAGGGAAACAGATTTTTGCTTTTGGAAGGGAATTAAAAACTTCACTTGTGCCCAAGGAAAGACAAAGGGACTTGCACTTGATGCTTAAAAATTTCCCGACACTTAATATATTTTTTTCCACATAGAAGATGGCATCAAGAAACTCCTATTTAAAATTCCCAAGTGAAAATTAAAATTCTAGCATTTATCAAGTCATTAAATGAAAAAAAAAATTATAAATAGTAAAAGGAGGAGCCAGAAGAACAAGGTTTGATTCCCAGATACTTGACTTACTGTGTGGCCTCAGACAGATCATCCAGACTCCCTAAGCCCCTGCCCACATGTCCAAAACAGAGGTCGGATAACATCCACCTCAAAGCATTGTTCTGAGCCTCTTAGCAAGTAGTATCTCTGCTTTGGTTTATCGTGCTTTTTTGCTATAGAAATGGAGAGCTATTTATATGATGGTTTGACTTTCTCATTTTTTCACCCTGTTCTAGAACCTTTCTTAGTTAACCAGGATCTTGTAAGTCAGTCAGTTGGTCAGTTAGTAAATATTTACTGCATTCCTACTATGTGCTAGGCAGATACATCATTTCTACTTTAATTTGCACACAATTTAATGGGTATAGTTTTTTTGGTCTAACATTTTTTCCCATTGCTTTCGACTGCTATGAAAAATGTTTTCCTCTTTTGAAAAATTTGTCTTATGCCTGCCTTGGTATGACACATCCATTTATAGTTCTTTGCCTACAGATATTAGCATGACTACACATTCATATGACCTCATCTTTTGTTAAAATGTAGAAACACTTCTGTACCAGTTGATGAATAGCCACAGACCTGAGCCCCAGGAGTGTTTTGCTTACTCCCATAGTCCCATTCATCTCTGCTATCCCCCAGGTCAACTGAAGGATTAAGGAAGGCCTAGCACAAATGGCAACTGGACCTAGCTCCTGAGTCCATCCTGAGTGTAAGATGTGCCTCCCAGAACGTGGAAGAGCTCACACTTGCTTACCCACTCCTCGCATTTCTTCCAGCCCTCAGATCACTCATTTCTTGGCCAGAGACCCTCCTCTCCTACCCAAGTCCCTTCTCCTTAGCTCTCAGTCTCTTTCCTCTGTGCTTCCCTTAGTGTGTTCTGCACCCCGATTGTCCTCCAGCCACCCCTCCTTAGCCCTGCCCCCAGCATTGCTGCCCAGGTTCTTTCTGTAGATTGTCCTCTATAACCCAAACCAACTCCGTAGGGCTGAAACATCACACTGAGTGCATACGGCCATAGCAGTGTTAAAATATTGAAATAACTGAGTAATAATAGTAAATAGTCACTATGCTGAGTCCCCATGCCCAGTACCCCAACCACACTGACCACTCCTCCTCCCCATGATCCAGTGCCTGGCCTCCCTGACTGTGCTTCAGGACTATGGCCAACACCTGCTCTCATGGGTACCTACCTGTGCTCTGCTAGTGTATAGGTGCTTTTTCAATCACCTCTGCAAAGAACTAGAATGTAGAGTGAGGTAAGGGCTATTCCTTCATTTATGATTCACTGATTCATTATACCAATACTTATCCATCACTCCTATGTCCAAGACACCAAGCCAAGCTCTAGGACCTCCAAACCAGATCAGGTCTGTGCCCTTCTGGTACTTCCATTCTGGTAGGAGAGACAGGTAATAAGCAAGAAGATAAACATATACCCATGTTTCGATATATGTTTTGACTGAGGGTTCCAAAGGAAGTGAGATTAGCTGTGGGAATTCAGAAGTGGTTTCAGAAAGAAGGCTGTGTTTAAAATGGACCTCACCCTAGCTGGTTTGGCTCAGTGGATAGAGCATTGGCCTGCGGACTGAAGGGTCCCAGGTTCGATTCCGGTCAGGGCACGTGCTCGGGTTGTGGGCTCGATCCCCGGTAGGGGGCGTGCAGGAGGCAGCCAAGTGATGATTCTCATCATTGATGTTTCTATCTCTTCCTCTCCCTTTCTCTCTGAAATCAATAAAAATATATTTTAAAAATATAAAAATAAAATGGACCTTTGGATGCACAGGGTTTCTGCAGGCCTACGTCAGGGGAGCAGCATAAGCACAGGCATTGGGCAGGAAGCATGGCCTGTGTTTACAAACCAGGAGTCCAGCTTGTCTGGCCAGTGGGGTACACAGAGAGGGCTCCTGGGAGATGAGGTTGATTGAGCCAGCCTTTCCTCACACCTGAAGGTGGACTTATGCTGTACAGAACAGACACATAGTAAATACACCCTTTTCAACCTCACGGCCGGCCGTCAAAATACCTGCCTGAGCATTCACTAATCTGAGCGTAGGTCCACTGTATGAGTTGGGCAGCTTGTGCACTGGACAAATGCCAGCCCAAGGGGTGAGTAGGGCAGCCCTTGCTCGCCCCACCAAACTGGATACACTGGTGTGGGGTTTTCCTAAAACACTTTTCACCAGCTCCACATTGTGCCAGAGGCCACCTTTACCCATTTCACACAAAAGCCAAGATAAGCTAGCAACAGCCCTTTCCAGATACTCCCTTCCCTGGTCAAACTGCTCTATTCCTTTCAAATAAATCCTTTTGTCTGTGCCACCCCGATTCCCACTTCTATGGCCTTACCCATAAGCCCACACAAGCCCCTTTATCAAAGCTCTCACTTATCTTGGCCATGCACCACACACACACACTCAAACACACCTCTTACAGTAACCCCTTTTCCTTCATCCAGATTGCTTCTGAACCCCTTTTGAATTCTGTCCTGCCCTACCCCTCCCTCTGTCTAAATGGCTCCCACAACTTCCTCTTCTTTGATTACCCCCACAAATGTTTCTCTGATCTGTTTCCTATTTGTGTGGTAACTCGGTGGGCCTCTGTCACCTGTGGGTCTTTGGCATGTATGAGAATGTGCCCAAAACCCATTGGGTACAGTGAAGAATATGTGGTCTCTTTCCTTAAAGAAGATGTTTATTAAGATTTTTTGATGTATCTACCATGTGCCAGGCATCGTACCAGAGACTTTGGAGATATAAAAGTAAGACAGTGCCAATGATGAAGGGACAAAGACAATCAGAATACAGGATGGTGCATATCAAGATCAGGGACTGCTCCAAGTGCTGTGGGAACTCAGAAGGTTAATCTGGCCCACTTCACAGTCTCCGGGAAGAGACATTCATTCATTCAACCAATCAATCGTTCAGTATTTACCCATTGCCTACTGTGTGCCAGTTGCTGTTCAAGGTGCTTAAGTGATGCAATTCTTCCCCCATGAAACCTAAAAATTCCAGCAGGAGAGACAGGCAATGAACAAATGAGTTACTATAGACTATGCTAGATGATGATATGTGCCTAGAGAAAAATAAAGCAAGGAAGGGCATAGTGAATATCAGGGTCTTGGGGGTAAGGCGGGTTAACGATCCTTGTTTTGTATAGAATGGTTGGGAAAGGCTTCAGTGAGATAACACCTGAGATACCTGAAGAAAGTGAAAGCCAACCATGTGGTTATCTGTGAGGTGACTCTACCAGGCAGAAGGAACAACAAGTTCAAAGACCTGAGGATGCAGGTCCCAGAGCGTGTTCAAGAAAGATAAAGTCAGCCAGTGAGGCTGGGAACAGGTGAGCCAGACAACAGTGTTAAGGAAGGAGGTCAATGAGAAGGTAGAGGTGTGGAGTAGGGCATGGCCTTGCAGCTGGTGGAAGGGCTCTGGATTTTATGATGAGTGAGATGGGGTGGTGGTGACAAGATCTGACTTCATTTTAGGAGGCCTACTCGGCTGTGGTGTGGAACATAGCCAGAAGAGGACAAGGGAGGCAGAGAGACCAGTAAGGAGCTGAACATTCATGAAATGATACTGGCTTGGTGTAATGGTTGGAGGTATAGCAGTGGAAATAGTGAGCCTGCCTGAAAGCTCATGATGTTTCAATGCATGCATGCATATGTATTGTACAAAGTGCAGGGGAGATGGTGGTGAACCCAGTGCAAAATGACATGGCGAGGGAAGCTGTCACAGAGCAGACATTGGAGCTGGCCCTAGAAGATCCTAAAACTATCCTCACCCCCACCCCAGTATCTTCCCCAAGGCATATCCCAATCATTACATGTACTGTAAGGCTCTTGTATTATATTGCATGGCATCATCCTGTATTGTGTTATAATCATCTGTGTGTGTGTGTGTGTGTGTGTGTGTGTGTGTGTGTGTGTGTGTGTGTATGTGTGGGTGTGTGACTCTCACCACTAGTCTATGGGAAGCAGAGGTCAGGGACCACGCACATGGATCATCTGTACATCCTCAGCATCTAGAACATGTTCTGGTGTGTTTAACAAATGATTACTGGATGGATAGATGTACGGTAGTCCTGGAAGTGAACAATGAAAATGAGAAAGCCTAGAAATTCTGGGTGGAATTGACCAATGAGAAAGTCAAGAATAATAAAGGAGCCATAAATGTCGGTTAATTGCAGATGTGTACAAAGATGGTCCAAGTCCTTTGGGGATGTTTCCTCCTGTGGAATGTCTACATCTCATCTGCGTGGACCACACACCCTGGAATCAAGGCAAGGGCTACTCAGCGGGCTCTGGACTATGGTGAGTTGGATGCTTTCAGTAGCCAGGCTGCAGCCCCCCTAGTGTTGCAGAAAAAATAATCACCTTAACAGTTGGCATATCCAAACACTGCCACAGATTCATATTCTCTCTCTCTCTCCCTCTCTCTCTCTCTCTCACACACACACACACACACACACACACACACACAGTGAACATCTCAGAGAATTCATTATAGGATAGAGGGAAGAAGATTTGTAGTAAAAGTAATAACTTACAGTTTCAGAAAGGGTTTGATTCCGAAAGAAACAGAGTTTTCTAAAATTGTGTGTGTAAAATTTAATGGGAATGATGATCATGCATTTTTCTTGAGGGAGGCTCTGTACACATATTAGAGGCACAAAGGCGTCTGCAAAACTAAGAACAGGCAGAGGAAAGTGTTGGGCTGAGATTTTCTTCGAGCTAAATTGGGATAAGGACAGATTATGTAGAAGAAAGGAACTGCAAAATCAAAGTCTATGGGCCTATTCTCACCTGTGAATGTTGGTCTAAGATTAGCTAAATGAGGTTGATATTCACTAATGTCCCATGTTACAGATGAAGGAAGTTCGGGATAAAGAGATTTTATAACTTGCAGGGTCACACAGGCTAGTAAGTGGCAGTGTTGGGATTCCGCCAAAGCTCTCTGATAGTGCCTTCGGTTCCATCTTTCCATCCTTACATTCGATCTTTACATCCTGTATTGCAATATTATTCACGGTATTATAGAGGACAAACTCTTTCCTACTTCCTGTCCAACAAGGATAGAGTAAGTAGAAATGAGCTAAAGCTGCAAAGTAAGGAATAAAGGCACAGCTTCCTCCTTGACAAGGTGAAGATGAAAAGATCACTCTTCATAGCTGTGTAAGTTACTTTTCTCAAGCTCTTTAATGGGAAGCGGCCTCTTTTTCTCCCTGAACTCAGAGGAATGTGTTTTGTGGTGCTACCATATTAAGACAGGTCTATTCCCAAATAAAAAGCAGTGGTTTTCAACCTTTCTGGAGTCCTGGGATTCTTTGAGAATTTGACGAAAATGTGGACCCTCTCCCCTGAAAAATGAGATACATATAGGGTGGGGCAAAAGTAGGTTTATAGTTGTGAGTATGTGACACACAGTTTATTATTTTTTAAATATATTTTTATTGATTTCAGAGAGGAAGGGAGAGGGAGGGAGAAAGATAGAAACATCAATGATGACAGAGCATCATCAATCAGCTGCCTCCTACACGCCCCCTACTAGGGATCAAGCCCACAACCCAGGCATGTGCCCTGACCGGAATCAAACTGTGACCTCCTGGTTCATGAGCCACACCAGCTGGGCCAGTTTATTCTTATATTATTATTTATTAATTATTTTCCATATGAACCACTGTAAACCTACCTTTGCCCACCCCTTTAGGCACATGCACAACCAATCACAGTCTTTTATTAGAATTTCAAGAGGTCCAAAAGTTCCCAAAGGCCCATGGACTTCAGGCCAGAAATTCCTGAGCTTGAAGAATCTAGGGCTGGGGGGAATGACTTTCTGGAACTGGCTATAATAAGGCATAGATTCTGGAGCCAATTTGCCCAGATTTGACTATTGGGTCCCCCAGTTCTTTGCTGGGTGACCTAGGGAAGGATTAACCTATTTGAAGTTCAGTTTCATCATCGGTAAAATGTGGATAATGATAATATTTTATACTTTTCCTATCATACTGTCCTGTGGTAACATTCTTTGGCCCTGGCCAAATAATGAAAATCTCTCGTGCTGTTAGCTCTGGGATTTTGAGCAATTTTATTAGCCCCTCTGAGAACCAGTGTTTTCATATGTAAAGCAGGGACAATAATACACACCTTGTAAGATTGCAGTTTTCTAAGCATCTAGGAGAATGCCTTATTCAACAAACTTCACTTTGAGAGAGCGCCGAATCCTAACCACTAGACCACCAGGGAACCTAACTTCACTTTGTTCGGTTCTTTCACAGGCGTTCAAGCTGGGATGGAGATGATTGAGCAAATGGCCAAAGAAAGAAGCATTCCAGATTTAAAAGGTTCTGAATCTCTTGAGTTTCTGAAGGTTGATTATGTGAACTACAATTTCTCAAAGTAAGTAAAAGAGCAGAGCAATGTCAGCAGTGAAATTCATCTTTAAACTCTCAGGGTTGTGGACATGCCACCACCTGTTCTGCTGTAACATCAGGCCCTGCAGAGTGGAAGTGAACCAACCTTTGGCGAGAGGCTTATCAGAAAATAACCAAAGGAAAAAGGGTCATGAAGTTGACAAAAAGTGTGACATTTGGGTCAGAACACCTGGGTCCAGGTCATGGCTCGGCTGCACACTAGTTGTGTGCACCTGGTGAATCCGCTCAGTGTCTGAGTGTCCTTATGTCCTTGTCTCTCTCCTAAAATGAGAATCCTAATTCAATACAGTTGTCAGCTGCAGCCACCTTATCCCTCGAATTCTAAAGGAAATTCCTGATCATTCCATTGCTACCCTCACCCCCATAAACCTAGAAGCAGAATTCAGCCACAGTCCCAAGAATAACTACTCCATCAAATGTTCTCTAATTTTCGTAAAGGTTAGTCACGATTTCAGCGGTCCCAGGGCACATGGCCTTCTGCCCTCTTGCTCTCTTGGCCTTTCCTCCTCTGGAGCAACACCAGTTTCTTCCACTGGCCTCATGCAAAGCAGTCCCACCCACAATGCTTTGTCAATCCAGTGATAATTCCCTGCTACCCTAGCCCTTTAGAGTAGTAATTTCCCTGCTATGAAGGATGACATTCTATAAAACCAAGAGTATTTTGTGAAAGAAGAGGGGTGGTATTCTAGGGAAAGTTCCTTTATCACAGTTGTTCTATTCTGTGATAAAGCCAGCCATTCAACAAGTGTTTATTGAGCATCTACTATGTACTAAGGCTTTATTCTAGGCATAGGAGATACTGTAGTAAATGACACAGATAAATCCTCTGCTCTTGATGTCCAGTGAGAGAGATGGACAATAAATATATATTTATAAGATTAATTATTGCCCTAACCAGTTTGCTCTTCGGATAGAATGTCAGCCTGTGGACTGAAGGGTCATGGGTTCAATTCTGGTCAAGGGCACATGCCCGGGTTGCGGGCTCAATCCCCAGAAAGGGGAGTGCAGGAGGGAGCTGATCAATGATTCTCTCTGATCATTGATGTTTCTGATTCTCTCTTCCTCTCCCTTCCTCTCTGAAATCAATAAAAATATATATTTAAAAAAATTTTAAGATTAATTATTTAAGTAATTTGGGGGGAATTCCGTATTTTTTCAGCTTTATTGAAATGTAATTGAAAAAAAATTGTAAGATATTTTTTAAAATATTAATTATTTACGTATAATGATGGGAATGCCACAGCAGAAAAATCCAGGGTGAATCATATAACATCAAGGGTACATGAAAATGAGGAGAAACAAGAATTCTCGTGAACTACTGGTGGGAATAGATAAGCTGGTACAAGAATTTTAGACCCATGCTGTCCAAACAAGTAGCCACTAGCCACATGTGCTTTTGAGCAATTGAAATATGACTTAATTACACATTTATTTAATTTTAATTTAAAAACCGATACTCGATTCAGTTATTGGAAAACTTTTAAGTATGCTTGGGACAAGTGTAAGTTTACTTTTTCTTTTTTTTTTTTTTTTTTTAAATATACTTCACTGATTTTTCACAGAGAGGAAGGGAGAGAGATAGTCAGAAACATCGATGAGAGAGAAACATCGATCAGCTGCCTCCTGCACATCTTCCACTGGGGATGTGCCCGCAACCCAGGCACATGCCCCCGACCAGAATCGAACCTGGGACCCTTCAGTCTGCAGGCCGAGGCTCTATCCACTGAGCCAAACCGGTTTTGGCAAGTTTACTTTTTCAATTGAAAATTTTATGCCATCTAAATACGGGTCAGTATTTCTGATGAAAATTCAGTGTTTAAATTGAGGTGTATCATGAGTATAAAATATGTACTATATTTTGAAGACTTATTTTGGAAAAAGGAAAATTTATCGCATTAATAATTTTTATATTGGTTACACATTGAAATGATATTTTAGATGTGTTGGGTGAAGTTAAAAATGATAAAATTACTCTCGTTTCTTTTCCCTTTTTTTAATGTGGTTACTGGAATATTTTAAATTACATATGTGGCTCGCATCATATCTTTATTGGACAGATTTACAAGGGCCTTTTTGTTGTTGTTGTTAATCCTCACCCAAGGATATTTTTCCATTGATTTTTAGAGAGAGTGGAGAAAAGAGGGAAAGAGAGAGAATCGTCGGTGTGAGAGAAACATATTGATTGGTTGCCTCCTGCATGAGCCCTGATCAAGGCCCAGGCTGGGGAGGAGCCTGCAACTGAGGTATGTGCCCTTGACCAGAATCGAACCCAGGACCCTTTGGTCTGCAGGCCAACGCTCTATCCACTGAGCTAAACTGGCTAGGGCCAGCGGCCTCTTTTTAGGCATACCCTTCTCGGCAGCCTCCATAGAGAAACATGTGCATAAACTGCATGTATGAGGATTTTCAGGGTGGTTTAGTTTACAATACAGAAACACTGGAAACACCCTTGTTGGTGGACACCAACAAGGAAATTACTGTTGTTTTAATGACACCAACAAAGGAATTATTGTTGTTTTAACAATACATCCACAGCTTGGGATACTCTACAGTAGTTACAAAGAATGGGTAAGACCCATAGTATCGAAAGGAAAACATTTCCAAGATTTCCTCTTCCCACAGTGGGTCTCAGGCTGTGTCACGGATAATAAGTAGGAAAGGATGCAAAGTAGATGAGATAGCAAAATAACCATTTCTTATCAGCTATCACACTTATGTCTTGCCATCTTCCTGATCTTAGCTCACAACAATGCCTTCCTGCTAAGCAACAATGATGCACAGGTGACCTCATTTTGTCTCCGTCACCTGCCTGTAACACTTCCTCTGAGTGATTAACTGAAAAAGGTGACGTGTCTTAGCCAAGGTTGCACCGCCAGCACAAAACTTGTCTCCAAGTCGAGTGCCCTTTGCACAATAATGAAGTGGCATCGCCTCGTGGATAAGAACACGGTCTGAAGGCAGACTGAGGAGGTTTCCAGATTTGGTTCTACCACTTATATATGACTTCAGCCAAGTTTCTTGTCTTCTCATCTCTGAATTGCAGTTTGCAAAAACAGCAACAGCCTCATAGGATTATCGTGAGGGTTAAAATGAGCGAATACATGTGAAGTGCTCACCACAGTACCTGGCAATGAGTACTCACATGTTCATAACAATAACCTACCATAATGCATGTGGCCATCTACCTATGTAGATGACATGCAACCCACTGCCTCCTAGTTGCCTGTTTGACAGATCAGAGAATCTTAGGGGGAAGTTAACTCTATGAAATAAGTTTCTCAACTAGGGAAGACAGTGTCCACATAGAGGGCATTTGGGAAGAGGAGGAGACACCCGTTAGATTCTCCCAATGATTCGAGGGGAGGAACACTACTGGCATTTAGCTGGTTGGCACATGTGCCAAATATCCTGCAATGTGTATAACAGTTCCCTACAAAAAATTAGTTGTCCTAACCAAAATACTAATGACCCCTATTTAGAAACACTGGAATAGCTGAAGGAAAAGGTATGATGGCAAGTGTACCTCTTTTTGTCTTTAAAGAAGTTTAAAAAAGTAGATTGATTTGCAACTTTTCTTTCAAACTTGCTCATTTCCCCCCTCAATGTGGCACAGGAGCTGCCTGCCCAAAGTTTGAGGGGAATTAGAAGGCAGTGCCTAGAGGCACCACTGCAGACCCGGGGTTCCTTGCTCCGTGGGAGTTCACAGTCACGATTTCTACAACTGAATTTCCCATTTTCCCTTACTTAGCAATGTGTCACACTAACTCCTCTGTTTCTTGTTTTACAGCATAAAAATCAATGCCTTTTCATTTCCCAACACATCATTAGCCTTTGTGCCGGGGGTGGGAATCAAGGCCCTGACCAACCACGGCACGGCCAACATCAGCACAAACTGGGAAGTCAAGTCGCCACTTTTGTGAGTATCCCCTAAAAAGCCTGCTGCCCTTGTGGGGGGAAATGGAGCAGAAATCCAAAGTGAGGAAATTTGCTAATGTTTTTGATGTTGGGCTTCTTTCCTCAACCATTAACACTCTTTTTCAAGAGCATTTTTCCAGGAGAGAATTAAATCAGAATTAATATCTCTGCTGGGTGTCAGAGGGGAAGGGCTGAAAGTCATCTTTACCAGCAAGACAGAGTAACTGGTCGAAAGGTCCTTTACGATTTCCTAAGAGCTAAAAGACGGTTGGAGAAACGGACATGCGCTCAACACTTGAGATGCCTCATGGGTCACTGTATGATCTTAGCCAGTCATTGAACACGCTTTGCCAACTGTGGGGCCTTCCTACCTCACAGGGAGATTGGAGCCTCCCTGTCACAAGGAGGTTGGAGGAGGATAGTCAGCTTGCGCCCAGTTCTCCCCTAATAAAAGGCCTTTGCACCCTCCTTAGAAAGAAGGGATCAAATCAAGGTATGCTTACAGACCACCCACTAGTACAAGTTGCTATCCTAGGTATAATGTTTAGGTCTGCCTTGGTTGGTGCCCCAGAATAACACATTCATTCACCTACTTGGTCATTTAACAAACATTTATTGAGTGCCTACTGTTTACCATTTATTCCCATCTCAAGAACTCCAAGAACTCTTATGGACTGGGGAGAAATGACATATCCTCCTATAAGTAGCATGGATTCATGTATTTATTCTTGTTATTCTTGTCTTTGCTGAGTCATCAGCTTTACATTGCATGCTTATTTTGCATCAGGCCACCAGCTAAGTCCTGGGGACATGGACATGAGTAACACATACTCCACTCCTTCAAGGAGTTCACAGACTACGTGTCCCTTTCCCATCCATGCCCCTCCTATATAACGTGTGGCCAACAGCCCCCCACCGCCCCCAACCATGTTCTCTCTCTGAACAAGCATTGTATACGAATGGTGCTCAGTATGTGCTCAACCACTGGGGCGGGGGCAGGGCACTGAGGATGAAATAACTTCCAAGGTCCCTAAAGCTGTTACCATTCCCATAATCCATTACTTCATTTGTTCAGCAAATATTCATTCAGCACCTGCTCTGATTCTACCTGTTGTAGGTGCCAGGAATCCAGAGGTGACAAGGGTCCTGCCCTCCAGGAGCTCAGAGTCCATGGATAGAGAACTGAGCCATCTCCTCCCCTGCCGAGGCCTGGTTAACCTTGCACTTTTTCTCTCAACAGCCAAGACTCAGGAGGAGCTGATCTGTTTCTCTCTGGGGTCTACTTCGCGGGTATCCTTACCCTGACCCGAAATGACTTAGGTCAACCAAACCTGGAGCTCCAAGACTGCCACGCCCAAGTGAGCCACGCCCACGTCTCATTTTCTGGAGAACTCAGGTGAGGGAGAGTGCCCTGGTGGACGGTGGCTAGTTGGGGGTGGTCTGGATTCTCAGGCAGCATGTAGGAGAGGTTAATAACCAACAGGTACAGTCCCTGAGTAAGCCCTTTCTTATTTCCTTTTTTTCTCCAGTGTCCTGTATAACTCCTTTGCTGAGCCCATGGAGAAACCCATTTTAAAGAACTTAAATGAAATGGTAAGTCTTTAGAGGTTACACAACCATGGTCAAATGCCATCAGCTGCAGGTCTGCCATGCTTGAATTAATTCTTGGTCAATAAACCTTTATTGAGCACCTACTGTGTGCTAGGCACCATCCAAGGCTCTTTCACACACATCATTCTATAGAATTCCCTTACTCAAGTTCATGCCAAACAATCAACAAGAATTTATTTATTGTGTACCCACTGCATGCCCAGCAGTAGGCTAGCATCTGTTGGGATATGAAAAAGAAGTAAACTTACCATCTTTTTAGGAAAACCAAAGTCAGGCTTGTGAAGCAATAACTGGATGAGGACTTGAATTTAGGGCATACTTATATGATCATTAGATTGAACTGAAGAGGTTCAGAGAAATGGGAAAATTAAATAAATAGATCCTGGAAGTATCCCGGGAGACATTTTTAGAGGATGCAGGACTTGAACTGGGCCTTGAAATATAGGTAGGATCTGGATAGATAAGGAATGGGAAAGAAGATAGGCTATTTCCAGCCAATAGAAACAATGTGAGTTAAGATGGCTTCCAAAGCTACAAGTAGCTAGATTCCAGAAGTCCGAGTTTGACGAAGGGAAAAGACGGGTTTGGCTGTGTGCCCTCTTTCCAATCCTGACCAGACCTTCCCTGAACCCATGACCCATATTTGGGAAACAGAGAGAGGGATGAGGAAGAGTGGGAACGAAGGGAGACTTCTGGAAAAGGGGTAAGGACAGTGTCTGGCTATCTCCTCTCCCTCATGCTCAGCTCAGTGCTTAATGAATACCGGCGAGGAAATCAACAGGTAGAAATAGTAAGCAGCCTGTCCAGTGAGGTTGCCGGCTCATCAAGGGACTGAGGCTTCTCGGTCTTTCTCCATCTTACCTGACAGGGGCTGGGGGCCAGTGGATGTGCACATTAAAGAGTGACTGGGAAATAGTGCTGCCACCTTCAAGGACCTCATAGTTGACCATTCCTTTGTTCAGAACGAGGCATGGTTCTTCGCCAACAGTTAAGTTTGCCTGGAGTTTACATACAACTTAGGAATCATAGCTGCTTTGCCTCTAGTATTCCCTCTGAGCCACTGGAAAATGAAGAGAATACTGAGACCACAGCTGTCGAGCTGTGATGTGACACCTGGTGACTCTGCCAGCCTCCCTTCTTCAGTTTTCCCATTTGTAAATAGGGGACAGTAGGGCTTACCTCCCAGAGCTATAGCGAGGATGAAATGGGGTTAAAACAACAGCTAACATATACTGAATGCTTACTCTTAGTAACCTGATGAGGTAGGTGCAATTGTCACTCCCATTTTGCAGATGAGGAAACTGAGGACAGAGAGTACAGGTAACTTGCCAAGGGATTCAACCCAGGCAGCCCACCTCCCGAGCCTTTGCTAGTAACCACCACCCTGCGTGCATAGCACACGCCTGGCACACAGCAGGTCCATCGATGTCTTTCCTTCTTCCTCCAGATGTGCTCGAGTCTGATTCAAGGTTTATTTTCTAATTCCAAGCGGGGTTCAATTGAAATAGATGCCTGATCTAATGGATCTCGTCGAACCAGCCCAGCGGGGAAGTAGAGGCCCCAGCTGTGTCCACGCCCGGCAGCATGGGGATGACAGAGCAGGGAAAAGGCATAGCAGGTTCCTCAGGTGGGACACCTCCAGCATGGACTGGGGCACATGTCCTGTCATGCACAGGAAGAAAAGGCAGTGGCTCATTCTTTTATGGGCCTCCCTGGGTGGAGTCCCAGTGGCTGTGAAGTTTAGTCAGCATTCAATGACTTGCCGCCCATACATACGTCACTTGAGGCCCATAGACATCAACTAATTTAAAAGAAAGTCTTAATGGCCGAATGGAGACTGTCTCCTAGCCGTTTGCTGGCAGGGTCTACGCCCATAAATAGAGTTTTCCAGTATCATATGATAACCTGCATTTTTTAAAAATTCCTTTTATGGCCAGCTCTGTCCCATTATCACGGGAGAGGTGGAAGCACTGAATGCCAATCTCAGCATGCTGGAGGGTGAGTCTCTGAACCGTCTCTTCTGGATGGTTCTTTCCCCACCTTCCCACTCTGGTGCTCCCCAGGTTTGCTTCTCCACACAATACAGCTCCGCCTCTTCAGTCTGCTTTCCACTCTGCAAACTAGAGCCTCAGGAAGGTGGGGGACCAGAGGGGCACAGTCTGTGTGTGGGGCCTGCTCTTTGCTTCTGCAACCAACTTCTCTGCAGGCGGGGGTGGCTTCAGGAGACCAGATGCCATTCAGAGAATTAAACTCTCACGAGCTTTAATCCCAGCTCTGGCACTAAATGCGTCCTCTTCAGAATGGTTAATGCTAATCTGGGCCAGGTTATCCCCTTCATTGGCTCCTCGCTGACTTCGGGATCAAGTCCAAATGCTTTAACGTGGACTGCAAGACCCACCCGCCACGCTCTGGCTCCTACTTCTCTCTGCTTCATCTTGCACCTTTCTCTGCTCCAGCAATCAAACTGCCTTTCCTGACCTCACGCCCCTTACCTTTGCTCATGCTGTCCTCTCTGCCTAGAAGAGCTTCCCCTCCCTTCACCCATTCATTCATTTAGTAGACATTATCAGTGCCTATTTCATTGCCAACACTGTGCTAAGCAGGGAGGGATGCAGTCCCTTCCACTCGCTACCCCTCGGCCATCCCTTGTCTGGTTCACTTCTCTTTATCTTTTCAGGCTCAGCTCAGGCATAGTCTCTTCCAAGAAACCTTACCCGATGTCCACACCCTAAAATTCCGCCTCCTCTATACTCACATGATACTTTGAAAGTGTCTCTCTCTTTCCAGTCCACCCATTCATTCACCAATGGTACAAGCCAGGTGCTGCTCTTGGTGCTGGAATGCAGCAGTCAGGCTCGGAAACAGAAATCCCTGCCCTCATGGGACTAGTGGGAGGAGACAGACAGCAAGCAAGATAATAAGTAAAATCTATGGCATCCTAGTGATGAGTGATAAGAACAAAACTAAAGCAGGGAAGGAGCTGGGGAGTGGTTTTCATTTTAGATAGTGTGGCCAGGGGTTGCCATTTTAGATACTGAGAAAGTAACATAGAGTACGAATCTGTATGAAGTAGGGAGTGAGCCACTCCTAGATCTGGGCAAAGAACATTTCAAGTAGAAGAAACCACAAGCTCACAGGTCCTGAAGCGGGAACATGCCAGGTGTGCTAGAGGAACTGTGAGGAGGCCATATGGGGAGCAGAGGGAGTTGGGGGTTGAGGGGAGGATAGCAGGAGATGAGATCAGGGAGGAGAAAGCAGATGGGTAGATGTCCAGGACTCTGTAGGTCATTGGGAAGCCTTTGGAGAGTTCTGAGCAATGCTTGCATGATCTCATCTATATGTTAAGAATATCACTTTGACTTCTGTCCATTAATAACAGACAGGAGGGAGGGGCAAAGGCGGAAGCAGGGAGACCACTTAAGAGGCTACTGACTCCCATGAGCCTAGATGAAGAAGGCGAGGCACATTCAGGTCCTGGATGTAGCTTGCAGGTAGAGACAGTGGTATTCGCTGACACGCCGAGTGTAGGTCATGAGGGGAGTCAAGGATGACCCCAGGTTTTCACCCTGAGCAACCAGAACCTTGGAAGAATGGAATTACCATTTACCCAAATGGGGAAGACTGTGAGAATAGGTTTGTAGTAGGACCATCAAGAGCTCAGTTTTAGATCTGCTCTTACTACCCTGTCTTCTGATTCCCCGTTTATATGTCTGTCTCCTCCACCAGACTATGAGTTCCACGAGGGCAGGGACTGTGACTCATCTCTGTGTTCCCAGCACCGGGCACAGTGCCTAAGCCTCACTAAGTTAATAAATATTGGATTGATGAGGGGATGACAGGAGATGGGTGGCTGGGCAAATGGATTGATGAATGGATCCAGGTGGATGAAAGAAAATGAATGGGTTGGGGAGGCAGGGAAAGAGAAAGAAGGAGTGAAGAAAGAACTGGTGGAGGAGTCTCATGTCCTAGCTTGCCTTGGGCAAGTTTCTGTACCTCTGGGAGCTGCACTCCCCTCACCTGTAAAGTGATCACGGCCCTGCTTCCCTCACAGTCTGATGGTGGATCCATGGAGATTGTGAATTTGAAAACAGATTTAAAACTATGGTGTCATAGGATAGTATTGCTCCCTCACCTTGGCAAATCGCTTCATCTCTTCTTCCTTCGCATCTCCTTCTATGGAATAAACCAAGCATGACGTGCAGGAAGGGAAGCTGTGGTGCTCAGGGCCTGCCTCTCGGGAGGAAGCCTTCCTCTCACAGAGCACAGGGTGGTGGTCGGGAAAGCAGCTCCCAGGCCAGGGTGGGAACTGAGCACCGCACCACCAAACACATAACCCGTCCCAGACACTGACGTCCATGCTTCCTGAAAGCCATGCCCACTGGCCCCTGGCCCCGGGCCCCCTGCCCGGCCTTCTGCTTGGCTCTGAAAACGATAGTACAAAAAGGATGTGAATCAGTAGCACTGTGCCTGAGAATGTCCTTGGCCTCTCCAACCTAGTGGATTTTACTCCCGTCTGTCTGTGTCTCTTGATATTTCTTTTTAAAAATGACTTCTAATTACAACAGTGATGCCTGCTTATTGTGAGAAAATTAAGTTCTAACTACATAGGAGGCTTTAACATAGAACTTGAAAGTCTCTCATTATACCAACCTGATATGTATGGCTTAATGTTGACAAGTGACTTGTTCGTCTAATTCCTTCTTTAAAAAGAATGCCCTAACTGGTTTGGCTCAGTGGATAGAGCGTCAGCCTGTGGCCTGAAAGGTCTTGGGTTCAGTTCCGGTCAAGGGCATGTACCTTGTTTGCGGGCACATCCCCAGTAGGGGGTGTGCAGGAGGCGACTGATCGATGTTTCTCTCTCATCGATGTTTCTAACTCTCGCCCTTCCTCTCTGTAAAAAATCAATAAAATATATATTTTAAAAAAGAATTTATGTACATTGAGAAAGAGAGAGAGAAACAGAGAGAAATAAAAAGGGTATATACCGAAATTTTAAGTTTCTCTCAGGGTAATGTGATTTAAAAGGGTTTTTACTTTCTTCTTTTGACTTACCTACTTTTCCTGGATCTTATAAAGTGAGCATGACCTGAAACTAATATAATATTGAATGTCAGCTATTACATAAATACATAAATAAATGAATAAATAAATAATAAGAAAAAGGTGAACGTGTATTACTTATGAAACAGGGTAATTATTCTTTTAAACAATATAATTTTAAATTCTTAAATTTTTAAAAATTTGTTCTAGATATACATTAATCATATATTATGCTTTTAATGAATGTAAATTTTCTTTTTGCTTTATCTGTTTTAGTTTTAACCAAGATTGACAACTATACCCTGCTGGATTATTCGCTAATGAGTTCCCCAGAAATTACTGAGAACTACATCGACCTGAATTTGAAGGTAACTTTATCATCATCATCAGAGTCCTCATCCTGGCTACCAACAGCCAGTACAAGCGCCCCTCTGTGTCCTCCAAGGATTGGTTACAGGACACCTCCCCAGACCAAAATCTTCCATTCTCAAGTCCCTTACATAAATGGCAAGGTGTTTGCAATTAACCCAGGCACGGCCTCCTGTATACTTTAAATCATTGCTAGATTACTTACATAACCTAATACAACATAAATGCTAGGTAGATGTGTGTTAAAAGGAAATGTACATGCTCGGTGAGACACAACCATCAGAGGCCTAACTACACAGTGCCCCTCAGCAACAATGTAACTTTGTTTTCAAATATTTTTGTCTGTGGTTGGTTGAAGTAGAACCTAAGGATACAGAGGGCCGACTGTATTCAGGGAACAAATGTGTGCAGAGGAAATATACCTACATGCTCTTCAAATAATTTTCTTTGAAACAATCCCTGATGTGTATGCTCTTTCGAAAGACTCTTGAACATTTCCTTGATCGGTCAACGATGGTTTGGATTGCACAAGACATGTCTGTCTTCTTCAAGAAGAGTCTCATGATGCCTTTGCCTCTGGGAGTGGGGTGAGGCTAGGAGGCAGCAAGTAGAGTGGTCTGCAATTATTAGAACTTAGCACATCAGTAATTGTACATATTAGTACTTCTATTCCTCTCAGATTAGTCCATTTAACTGCAAGCTGCCGACCTCTACTGGGGCTATTAGCACATGAAAATGGTGTTTGCTGATTCTGGGAAAGTGACTAACTGCCCTTATGTTTAGTTTTACCCCAAAGTTAATATCATTGTTTTTAAAAATGCATATTGGCTTATATTTCAATCACTCAGAGTCCTTCATATTAGTTAAACATTACACAAGACAACGAGTGGCTAATGAGGGCCATTAGAAATGCCATGGATTTTCTCCTAGACTTCTGAAACGCATGGTGCATTCATGAACATGTGATCCAGGTGCAGTTCAAGGTGCCGTGTTCAACCCAGTTCAACTCAATTAATATTTGCTGAATGCTTTAACTCATATAGAGTTCTGGAGCCTCCTGAGTCTTTCTGTGACACCCCAGACACTCAGCAATCACAGGGGTTGAAGGTCAGGGGTTGACATCTCTACCTGGCACCTCAGGAAGTATTCAGAGCTGTCACCTCCAGCTAAATGCACCTGCCTTTCTTTCCTGGAGAAGAGGACCGACAAGGAACTTCTCACTAGTTTACACCCCAGAATGGACAGACATGCCCAGATGTACGTTCAAGAAGTCGTCAGAGCTTTGAAACATGGTCACTAGTCAAGGAGTCAGAAGGCCTTATCATTTTTTCTTCTCTACTGAGTTTCTACAATTTTTCTTATTCTGACCTGAGAGGGTCCACCTTCTTGTGTCCTGCATATTTGAGCCTTCACCTAACACACTGGCCTCTCTCTCTTTTCCCACAGGGCGCATTCTACCCACTGGAAAACCTCGCCGACCCCCCCTTCTCCCCAGTGCCTTTTGAGCTCCCAGAACGCAGCGACTCTATGCTCTACATTGGAATCTCCGAATATTTCTTTAAATCTGCTTCCTTCGCTCATTTCGCAGCTGGGGCTTTCAATGTCACTCTCTCCACAAAAGAGGTGAGGAGAGCTAACGGGTGATGACAGTCGGCTCCCACGTTTCATCTTATCATAAGTTTCCCGGTTGGGGGCTTCTGTGTCATAACTTCTATTCCTAGGCTCTGTAGACCAGCACTCCTATCAGGACAATGAGTGAAGGAGTTGTGGCATGAATGTTAATAGTTGGAAAGTTGTTGAGTTTCCAGTTCTTCTAATTTCATTTTTTTATGACTCCAAGTCACTGTTCTAGATGACAGGACCCCCTCCATCACTTATTACCTGTAACCTTGGGCAATTTCAGTTTATTTAACTTCTCTGTGCCTGAGTTTCCGCATTTGAAAAATTGGAATCATAATAATTCTTTAATGTCCATTATAACCCATAGGTTGATGTGGACATTAAAGAGATTTAAATATATTTAAAGCATTCAGACCAATGCCCAGCACAGAGAAAGTATGCTATAAGTGTTGCTGGTTATTATTATTATTATTCCTTATGTTATGCCAACATAAATATTTCTTCTGCAACTGGCCTATCTGTAGTGGCTGTGAGAATACAGATACTCACTGATTCTCTCTGCCATGCCCCTCCCTTTTACATATGAGAACACTCTTTCCAGCCAGCCAACCAACAACTTTTACTGAGCATCCCTTATGAATCTTCATTCCAAAGGTCTTAATTATGCACGTTGTCATAAACCTTATGTTCAGAATACTAAGTTGGCCATACATACCAGCTACCATGTGCTGAAAATTAGACACTTCTAGCTTCAAGACTTAAAAACCACCCATCCGTAAAGATAAATTACTTAAGCCTTCTATGTCTCCATAATGGAGACAGTAGCATAAAACGTGTTGTTAACCACCATAGAATATTTATACACGGACCACACATAGTATATGATGTACACAGTGTTCCCACGGTTAAAAGCCACTTACTCAAAAGGAACGTATCTCTCTCCCGTGGGACTCCCCGTGTGCAAGTCACTTCACTTCCCCGGGCCTCATGTTTCCTGGGGTTGGTCTATAAAATGGTAAGTTGACTTCAAACACTTTTTCTGGTGCAACAGCTTCATAATTCATACAAATTATGGGGAATACTATATTTTCCCTGAAAAGACAACCTGAAGTAAAAACCTTACACTCTGACATGATGGGCTTCCTTTTCCAGATTTCCAGCCATTTGGTTCGAAACTCTCAAGGCGTTGGCAACATTCTCTCCCGGGTAAGTGGTCAGGATTTGACTCCTTGATAGTGTATTTGGTTTCGTTGGAATTACTTCCAGAACACTTGGGGTTCTTTTGTTGTTTTGTCTTTTATTTTGGGGGTTCTTTTTATTCCTCTTTAGTGCAAGCCCGAGTCCATGTTTACATTCTTAAGGAATTTTTTTCTTTTGTTCAAGTATCCACAAATATTTACTGAACATTTTACTATTAAAAGATTTTAAGTTCAAAAGATAAATCATATGTTGCACCCACAAGGTTCCACACACTGGAAATAATTAGCTCAAATGGGAAATGATGGCTAGTGCCCTTGCTTGTGCCTTTCATCAAGCAACGATTAATGCCATGCCTCAGAGCACCTGAGTGCTGGACCAAGTGTATGAAAGGCTCAGGTTTGCCCCTGAGGACAAAGACAGACATGCTGTTTTTGTTTTGTTTGTTTATTTTAAATATATTTTTATTGATTTTAGAGAGGAAGGGAGAGAGAGAGAGAAAAACATCAATGATGAGAGAGAATCATTGATTGGCTGCCTCCTGCACACCCTGCACTAGGGATTGAGCCCACAACCCGGGCATGTGCCCTGACCAGGAATCAAACCATGACCTCCTGGTTCGTAGGTCTATGCTCAGCCACTGAGCCACACCAGCCGGGCAAGACATACTGTTTCTAGAGCATCCTGGATTTAGAGTAAGGATCTTGAATCACACAGACCTACATCTGAACCCCAATTCTACAACTTACTCACCTGGAACCTTGAGAAAATGACTGAACCTCTCCAAGACTGACTTTTTTTTATTTGTGAAATGGAGAGAACTGCCTCACAGGGATTTTGTGAAGATTAAATTCGATAATACAAACAGCCTTGGCATGGTGCCTGGCACACAGTGTGTGTCCAATAAACCTCGGCCATTATTATTTGTTTTTGGCATGTTGTTGTTGTTGTTACTATTAAGGAGCTTTTCTTCTATTCTTACTGCATGATGTAAGATTTAGTCACCCCAAATTTGTGACTTTCACTCATCAACTCACAACCCCCGGTCTCCATTTATTCCCTGAACCCGGGCAGATTGCGGAGATCTACATCTTGTCCCAGCCCTTCATGGTTCGGATCATGGCCACGGAGCCTCCCGTGATCAGTTTACTACCAGGGAACTTCACCCTGGACATCCCTGCTTCCATCATATTACTCACCCAGTCTGAGAACTCCACTGCCGAGACCATCGTTTCCATGGACTTTGTAAGTCTGTGGGGACAGAGGGCAGCCTGTGGATGCAAATGCTCTCCTGTAGAAACCACTGGCCAGCAGTGGTCTCCTAAGTGCTTGGAGGGCTGGGAAGTGATATATCAGGAGTGAGGACAGGGTTGAGATGGAGTGTGGGGAGCTATGAGAGGCCAGTGCTCAAACCCCATACATTATAAAATAGCTCTGCGCCCTTCTCTGCTCCCTGTGTGCCCTTCCCTCTGCTTCAGTTACATTGACAGCCAAGCTTCTTTTCCCTTGAAATAAGTTAATCAAGGTGGAATTCAAGTTTATTTGAGCAGATAAAGGCCAAATACAATTCAATAGAAAGGGACTAATACAATGAACCTAAGTGAAATACCACACACACACACATATGGTACATAGAGAGGAGAGATTAGGAGGGGGAAAAAAAACAGTTTAAAGGAGATCTTCAAGCAGAAGTCTTTATAGTTAGTTTTCTTACCTGAAAGACAGTATTTTTAGAATTATTTCTTTCAAATATCTCTCAGAATGAGAGGGAAATGGAGCTTATGATGTTTCCACTATTGGGAATAATATCTATGGCCAATTTATGGCCAGAGAGCTTCACTCTTAGCAACCCATGCTTTTCTTGTCTGCAGGTCGCTAGCACCAGTGTCGGCCTGGTTATTCTGGGACAAAGGCTGATCTGCTCCCTGTCTCTGAACAGGTAAGATCAAATGATTTGAATGTTGGGAACCTTCACCATAAGTGAATCAACAGACCATAGAGACAAAGACAACAAGTGCAGTTACCGAGTTACCGCTGGATAGAACATGAATCACTTACACACTTCTCCTGCAATAGTCCAGGTCATTGCAAAATAGGGACTTAAAAATGTGTTGCGAACATTTTCTTTTTTCCTTCCCATTAAATAATATTAAGCTAAAATAGGCAACACGGTAATATAATTATTTACTATAAATGCACATTCTAATGGTTCAGCCATGCAAAACTAAAATTCCTCTTTAACAAATTCAGAAGCCAGGCCATCGAGCAAAGAGCATAAAACTTGGAGGTCAAGGGATGAAGTTTCAAATCCCTGCTCACTGCTTCCATATTGACCGCTGAGTCTCAGTTTCCTTATCTGAGAAATAATGAAGTTGGACTGAATCATTCCACAGATACCTTCAGGCTCTGACACTCGGATCTCATTACTGTAAGGCAGAGTTTAACAAGCCTGTGCCACATGGCCTGGCTGGCTCTCCGCTGGCTCTCTTCACATGCGGTGTGAAGGGGCTTGAGCAGGTCATAGACACAGATCGTTGAACACTGATGGCCACTTGGAGGAACAGACCATTTTCCTCAGCCCTATGAAGCCCATAGTTGAAGCCATGAATCAGACTACCTGTGGGGAGGAGATACAGAATGATCAGATGGCCCAGATTACACCTGTGAAAGGAGGAAATAGACAAAGAATAAAACAGACAAAGAAGGCAGAGTCCAAAAAGAATAGGAATAGGAAACCAACAGAGGGGAAAACTAAGTCAATCACCATCAGTCAACTTGGTGGTTATCAGGACTATTGTAGAGACACATGTTCTTTCTTTAAAAAACAAACACAACACAACTTTATTGTTGAAAGTATTGCATATGTCCCCATTTTTCCCCATTGCAAGATGTGTTCAATAAAGTACCTGTAATACTAAGTGAAACAAGTAAAAATATGGAACTGCATGAGCACATGGGTCAGCCCTGTGAAAATGAAAATGCAGACCCCTTGTTCAAAAATTATGTAGAATTTCAAGATGGAGACAGCAGGGCATTTAACCGAGCAGGGCCCTTGTGAGCAGAGGCCCCGTCCTAACTGCACAGGTTGCCTGCGTGAGTCTGAGGGTGGCCCCTGCAGGGGGGACTGTAGCAAACCTCCGGCAAGGAGCAGACTATGGCCAAGGCGAGTGGGCCGGGCGTCACTCACACTTCAGGCAGCCAACGTGAGAGGCAAGGCTTTGCCAAGGAGCAGAGGTGGTGCTGGAAGAGTGGCCTTAGCCTTTGGCAGCGAGAACGGTAGCCCCGCCGCCCACACAGGCCACCCCAGCCAGTGTCTCCACTCCTGGGCTTCGCAGGCAAGCACGGCTTTTCAGGATGGGCTGGTTTCATCTGATGTCAGAGAGACAGAGCAGGAAGGAGAGGAAAGGGGGTGGGGATCAGAGAAACAAACATCCCTGAGAAGAATCGGTGGACACGGGTCTTCAAATGCAGCTCTCCGGAACACCCGGCCTTTCTAACCGTCCCCTGCCTGGAGCAGTTCTTTCCGGAGCTGCTAGGGGTGGGCTGCATAGAGACGGGCTGCATAGAGACGGGCTGCATAGAGACGGGCTGCATAGAGACGAGCTGCGGAAATCAGAGGCACATCCAGAGGGGAGGCTAGAGAGGTAGTGAGCTCACAGGCTTTGCAGTCGGACTTGCTGGTTCAGATCCCAGCCCAGACTCCCAGGCGGGTTTCTACTTCAGGGGTTGTTGTGAGGAATACATGAGTTAATACATGTAAGGTGCATGTTATGTGTTCAAGAAACATCAGCTGTGGCTATTATTTAAAATTGGGGGCTGGCCTCAGCCAGCAGAAAGTGGTGCTCAGTCATACAAGATCATTTCAGGAGTTCCCTTATTCAGAAAACACCTCACTCCCCTGTGCTGGGATGGTGCTTAGGGAAATCGCTGTTTGTTCTACTATTCATGACTACTCTGTGTTAGTGAGGCTTTACTGTCTGCTGGTCCTATGCCAAGCACTGCACATAGGTTATTTCATTTCAACCTCAGAACCCTGTATCTCCAGGACCTGGCATGGCACTCAATAAATGTCTGTAGATTGAATGAATACCCCGGTGGTAGGTGTTATTATCCCCTTGGTTCGGTTTCTGGGGGTAATATGACTTACTCAAGTCACAGAGCTATTGGATAGCGGAGCCAGAACGTGAAGCTGGGTGAATCTGTTTTCAAAGCCTTGAGTGTTTCCTTACTGGATTGTAGTGCCTTTGGTGTAGTGAAGAGTTGAGACTCAGAAAATAAGACTTAGACCTAAGACTTAGAAAATAAATCCCCTGCCTAGAAGCGGAAACCCATGAGCATGGAGTCACACTGAACTGAAACAGGGAGCATGACCTTCCTCATTGGTAAGTAGTGACAGAGGAGACACTGGCATTGGACTTCTCGTTGCATTAAGTAACTGAGTAAAGGAAGGATAAAGAAAGCCAAAGCCGAGAGTAGAAATAACAAACTTGACCTCTTTGAATATGTCTGTTAAGAGCACAGGCTCTAAAGCCAGATATATGTGAGTTTGACCTCTACCTCAGTCATTTGGAACTGTGGGGCCTTGAGCAAGCTAATCAACCTCTCCAAGTATCAGTTCCTCACCAGCAAGACAGAGCACCTCCCCATAGCATCGCTGTATGGGTAGGTCGATGAGCTAAAGTGTGAAAAGCACAATACCCAACACATTATCAGCTCTCAAGAAAGATCCATTCCTACTAGCAGTGGTATTTCATTCTCTTTCCCCATTCTAGCATCAAAGTGTGACCCAGATGGTCTTAAAAGCTGTGGAGTTGGCACTCGGTCGTACATCAGATTCTTACTGCTCTATCTACAATAGAGAATTTCATTCCAAACACAGTTCTTTTTGGCGGTAACCCCAGCACAGGTTGGCCCACATAGTAGACATTTTGCAATTATTTCTGAGGCCAAATTAAACAACACTTTCCCTTATTTGGTTCTCATCCAGATGGTGCAAGTCTAACCCTCTTAATTGCAAGCAAAGCTTGAAGCAATCAAATGTACATTCGTGTTGAACCATTTAGAGCTTTAGATCATTTTTTGACATTGCTATGGGATTGAGGCTTTGGATGCTCCCAAACTGAACCCCACCCCACTACATTAACACACACACACATGCCCGACAACCCCTCCCATGCAACACTGGCAGAAAATGCAAATATAGCTGACGACAAGCAGATAGAATCACCACCTAACTCCACTCCTCAAGCCTGGGCAGATAAACATTTCCCCAGGTGAGCCATCTGGAGAGAAACCCAGAGAGGAAAACAGGTCCGGGAAGAATGGATTCGGTTTCTGTTGGAACAGTGCTCGGACAGGTCAACAGAGCTCAGACTTGGCATCCTGTTGACCTCCATCTCCACCCTTCCTCTGAGCGAATGTTGAAGCCACTGTGGGGGGAGGGGCTCCATCAGAGAAGGGAACCCCAAATGACTTCTTCCCCTCCTCCCTGACTCTTTGGGGGGAATTTCCAGATTGCAGAAGGCAATCAAGTTAAAACATTGGGGAACTCTTCCTCATCTAGAGGATCCTTAAATACTGGAATGGGCTCCCCTCAAAATCTTTCATAGTTGGATTGAATCCACAGCCTGGGGTTTCAAGCTCTTCAGTTACTGGTTCTACCTTTCAAGCCAGCCAGCCTGACTTCCCATAGTTTCCTAAAGTGAACACTCTGCTGGTGCAATGACACCCACACTGGCTCACCCTCAAAGTGACCTCAGTTCCAATAGACACTCTCCCACCCATGTCCTTTATCTGCTCATTTATCCATAATATCCACTCATTGAGAATTTATTAAGCACCTATTATGTGCTCTGCCCTGTTCTTAATACAGAGAGTAGAGAGGACAGTGGTGTCGACCTTCCAGATCCACAGTCTGGAGAGAGAAACACTCAGTTTCAGGCAATTACAGTACTGGGTGCAAAGGGACATGGTAGTGTACAGAGTGCTTCTCTCAAAGGGCAGTTTATCCCCCCCACCCCCGCTCTCCTCCTCCTCCTCCTCCTCCTTCTCCTTCTCCTCCTCTTCTTTTTCTTCTTCTTTCTCCCCCCCCTTTCACACACACACACACACACACACACACACACACACACACACACACACGCTGCCCACGCTGGCTGTTTTACCTTGTCCCACCTTCTCAGACTTCCTGCAGCAACTTACGAAAGAGCACCTGAATACACACTGCTTTGCGTTGCTCTCTAATTGCCTCTTGCACACTCAGCAGCTTCTCTCCATCCCTCACATAAATAAAATTCTGCACATTGCAAACCACATCACTGAGCATAGACTGAGCACCTGGGAAACCTCTCACCTGCCAGTCTTCCCTCCATGCTGCAGCCAGAGTGATCTTTACAGAAGACAGGCATCACCTCCCTTCTTAGAAACCTTCTGTCGACTCCTTGCTCTTAGGATAAATATCAAAATTCTCACATGGCCTGAGAAACCTAGCCTGGTCAACCCCGTCTGCCTCTCCAGCATCATCTTGCTCTCTGTTCCCTCCACAGGGCCTTTGCAACTTCTGCCCAGACCCCTTCTCTCTCCCTTCCCCCTTTGCCTATTTAACCCTGCTCATCCCTTACATGTTAGCTCAAGGACATTTTTCTGTGGTTTGGAAAACTTCCCGTAACCACCAAGTAAGATGAGGTTCCTTTCTCATTTGCCTCCATGAATGTATTCCTTTCCACCAGAGCAGTTATCACAATCTGCAATTGCACCTTCATCAGTGGATCATTTGATTAATGCCTGCCTTCCCACTGGGCTATAATAATCTGCATGAGAGCAGTGGCTGTGTCTGGTTTTGCTCACAATCTATTAGGTATTCAGTAAATATCTGCTGGATGAATGAATGAATGAATGAATGAACGAACGAACGAACAGTAAGTGCCTAAATGTGCCATGCCCTGAACTCAATCTGGGAATACAAAGTTAAGACTGAATCTCTATCCTCAAGGAGTTCACAATCAGGCAGAGATAAACAATTGTTATAGGGTAGATATTGAGTGCAGGATTGATTTTCAATGTCCGCTGTGGCCACAGGGTTGGAGGAATGGCTTTGTGAGTGCCTGTGCTTTGCTGCACTTGACCCTCATTGTGTCATATTTGCTATATTGGCCCGGATCATAAAGGGCCTCTTGCCACGCTTCAGAGTTTGCACTTTAGCTCTGGTTTTCGGTCAGGACAATAAACCTTCTCCAAAACTTTTAAAATAAGGTATATTCTTATATGTCTGCAAAGTAAGGCTATTTGAGCTCCCGTTTTCCCCAAGAACTCTGTGGTTCTGTCATAAAAATTATTTCCTAGTGTCAAGGCTTTCCGTAGCAGGCTAGGGGCCTGGCAGAGAATGAAAGGTCAAAGGACTGAACTGAGTCGCCACCTCGTGGTCTGAGTTGCACTTGCGTGCTTTTCAGAAACAGAGGAGGGAGAGTTTGCTCTTTGCTCCACCTGTTTCTCTGCAGACAGTGAGACGTGCCCATTAGTAAGCAAACCTGTGAGTGTGCCTAGAAAACACGGAGAGAGACAGAAGATGGTCTTACGAGGAAAGGACAGTTGGTTTGTGGGACACCCCAGACGAGCTTACTCATAGCAGGGGGTCCGGAAACAACCAATCATGGCTTGGGGTTGTGATGAAAGAAAAGAAGGAAAACTCACAAGTGTGTCCCACCTTATGTGGCCAGATTTCCAACCTGGTCTGCCTTGTCCATAGGAGGTGGTGTGACCCAGAGGAGGCATCCCTCCCCATGTCCCAGCAGCGCCTTCACAATTACCCTGCACTGCCTGTGACGCCAGACAGCTGTCAGAGCTGACGCTTCCCAATGTGTTGTGATGGAACAGATAAAAAATGATATAGGTGATACCGCCTCCTGAGAGCTGTGGCCTCGGCCGGGCATGGACTCTAGAGTCAAGTAGAGTGAGTTTGTCATCCAGATCCATCAGTTGCTAACTCTGAGACTTGGGTAATTTAATTCTCCTCTCTGATCATCAGTTTCCTCATCTGCAAAAGGGACAACAATAACTGCATCTATCACAGGGTTATTGTGAAGTTTAAATTTAAAAATGTTTAGCCCTGGCTGGTGTTGTTCAGTGGTTAAAGCATCAGCCCATGCACCAAAGTGTCGTAGGTTCGATTCCTGACCAAGGGCATATATCTGGGTTGCAGGTTCACTCCCCACCCCTGGTTGGGACGAGTGCTGAAGGCAATCAGTTGATGTGTCTCTCTCACATCGATGTTTCTCTCTCTCTCCCTTCCTCCCTCCCTTTCTCTCTCTCTCTCTCTCTCTCTCTCTCTCTCTCTCTCTCTCTCTCTCGAAGATATCCTCAGATGAGGATTAACAAAAAAATTATTTTAAAAAAATGTGTATAAATCTCCTAAACTAGGACATGTCATATAGTGTCACCATTATCACCATCATCATCATGTTTATTAATAAGGTACCAGCCTGGATCAGAGAAGTTATGAGGTTGAGTTCAGAAGACCTGGAACTGTTCTCCCAACCCAGTACTACCCAGGCCTAACCCTGCCTAGCTTCAGAGATCAGAGGAGATTGGGGCAACGGGGGCGGAGGGAGGGGAAGGGGGGGTTGTTATGGCTGTTGACTGAAAACTATTACGGTTGTTCTGCATTCCAAGTTGCCAACAGACTAAGTCCCACAGAGCAAAGGCACTTGGGGAACCCAAGCCTTCTGCTGTTCCTGCCCTGCTTTTTAAGCAGCGAATTTAGGGGTAAAGATGCAATAGAGCATCATGTCCTTACAAGATTGGGTGGTGTGGGTTTTTTAAATAGTAACATATTCAGCTAAAAAAAATGTTCCGACCCCTTTTGTTTCTTTCTATTTAAATGGTTGTTTTAAAATATTCCTCCTTTAACCTGTTGGTTTTTGTGGTTTTGTTCTCAGGTTCCGCCTCTCTTTGCCAGAGTCCAATCGCAACAATATCGAGGTAGGAATCAGAGTCTCATCATTCCCTGTCCCGGGAGAATGTGAATCCTCCTATAGAGTAGCTGGATGACTGTTTTCTATGCCTTGAGGAGTACTTGGTTTTCCCAGGAGTGTAGGTTTTAACTTTAAAATTCTTTATGTAGCTACTGGTCAGTCCACCAAGCCCATTAACTATTAAACAAGAGAGGAACTTTCCAATTCACTTTTATCTACTCAGAAAGACTTTAAAAGGAACTTGACTGTTAAGACACTGTGTAATGTTGGGGGGGGGGGGTGCGTCTTCAGGAAGATTTTATTTTTTTCTAAAATAATCCTCTATAGTTCAATTTAAGATCCAGACTCCCAAAGAACGAGGCTCCATGTCAGCTATTAGGCCATGATCAAGTTTGCTCTTTGAAGGCTTTCTATCCACCTCTTAAAATTAGGTCAAGGCTGGTTGTATAGATACCTTGTGGGGGGCACAGCCTGGTGACCTCCTGATTGGAAGAGTATAATCCAACGTGCAACTTGGAAGCCCCCCTCCCAAGCTTCAGGAAGATCAGCCAAATCACTAGTTGGCATCCAACTTCATGGTGCTTATATTCTAGAGCAGTGGTTCTCAAGTAGGGTCACCCTGGATTAGCACCTCTGTGGCATAGCCATTTGGTAGATGACAGACAGTAGTCAGTGAGAATGCATAGCTGACTGTCTTGTAAATAATATTTCCTGAGCCCTGAGGAGTCAAAATGAGTCCAGGTCTTCCAGGAAGACCCAGAAAAACTGCTCACTACCAACAACAGATTGTACTAACCATGACATTTCTGGGGGCGGGGGGGGGACTGACAATAGTATATACCAGGCATTATGTTAACTTGTATAATCCTGACAACATCCTATGCGATTAGTACTGTTATCGTCACTTTTCAGTTGAGGAGCTTGAGGCACAGAGAGGTTAAGGCACTTTCCCAGCATCACACAGTAAAGTGGTATAAACAAGAGGTAAAGCTAGGAAATCTGCTTCAGAGCCACCCTTGTTAAGCTGCAAAGAGGTCCTTATTATTGCTAAACCTAGAGGGTGTTCAAAAAATATTCATTGAATGAATCCATGTTTATCATAGTCCATTTAGTTCTTAATACTTGAGCCTTCCCAGAAATCAGCACTTTGCTAAGACTATACAACTACCATAGTTTATTAAAGATAAATTGGGCTTCTGGTGATGTCATTAACCATGGCGCATAACATAATGCTGTGGCTGGGCTTCCCAGTAAATTAAGGAAAGACTACGCATTGGGATATGTGTTAGTTGTCCAGGATTGTCTTACTTGGCAGATATCTAAGCTGCCATGTTTGCTGCCACCAGATGGTCCTTCGGCATTTGTTGTCACCATGATCCAGGGTAGAGTGGAGCAGAAATGTCCATCCTCAAGGAGGAAAAGGGATTGGGAAACTCTGTAGTGTGGTTTCCCACAAAATAGCTTTCAGAGTCTGGAAGCTAGAATACGTATCTCTATGGGGAGACTCTAATCATAGCTCTCTATGCCGGTAAGGTCTGGGAAAGTGCAGGCCTAACCCAGGGATGGCTCTTTCACAATGCCCAAGTGATTTCGTTTCCCCTTTCATTTCAGGTCTTGAGGTTTGAAAATATTTTGTCCTCCATTCTCCACTTTGGCGTCCTCCCACTGGCCAACGGTAAGAGGTCCTTGGGAAACCATGTGACTCTGACATTGGCCAAATGTCGGGGATTGTTTGGGACTTTCCACCCAAAGCTTGTACTTCTCAGGTGTTATTAGGAATCCAGGCCAGTGCCACAATTTGCAAAGTTTGTACCATCAAGGATACGGTTGCAAAATTAGTTATTCCAGATCCAAGCCTTGTTAGCAACTCTGCATGAAGACTCGGCAAGAAAGGCTATCTCTGGTTGAGTTACAGAGATTGAAACCATTCTCCTTCCACAGTGAAGAGTCGCCTTCAGCCAGAAATGGCATTATTCTCCTTAGCGGTCGGTGTCTCTCTGGCTCTTATGCAAAGACCACCATCTGGATAGACACAGTTTTCATGAATGACAAATGTTCACACACAGCAGCATCTTGAGTTTGGCTTAATTAAATTATACTTTGTATTAGAGACCAGAATGTTCTCAGGACCCAAAAAGTAAGGTGTTTTCAAAATATAAATTGGACAAGGTGCCAGCATGTTTCTGCCATCCAAATGCACATGATTGCAGGTGCATTTCTATTAAGAATGGATTAATTAACCACTCTTCCGGGGCAATGCTAGGGACATGTCGGAAAAAAATGAAAACAAAGGACCAGGGAGAATGAAAAGATAGATTATTTAAAAGCTGCCTGTTAGTCTCTTACTGAAAAGCTTGACAAAACTTCTGTGCCCGTGCCCAATTATGTTACATCTTGTTTTATATTTTAGCAAAATTGCAGCAAGGATTTCCTCTGCCCAGCCCACACAAAATCTCATTCGTCAATTCAGACATTGAAGTCCTTGAGGTAAGAATGTGAACAGTCCCTTAATTGCCCCATTGCTGGTCATAGTAGAATAAGCCTCCTTCTACTTGCTTACCTTCTGTTTTAGTTTGTTCTGCTTTGTTTTTTTCCAAGCCCAAGGAATCTTATAAACAAAATGTTTAGCTCTTGAAGCTTGCAGTTAACAATGAAGAGCATTTAAACTTGAATTTTAGAATCAGGCCAGGTCCAAATTCCCTTTGCAGCCAAATTTATTCACACCACAGAACAAGAGGCACTGTAGTGCACTTTTATTTTCTTTATTCCATAAGACAGCCTGGAAGGCTGGGAGTATCCATCCCATTTTATAGATGAGGAAAGTAAGATTCAGAGAGGTGAAGTGGTTTATGGAGCTTGCAAAAGGCATGGCTGGCGGGGATGGGAGGAGAGGATGTGACACAGTAGGACCTGGTAAAGAAACCACCTCTTCCTCACCCCTCAGGTAAACCCAGACATCCTATGGCTGTAGATGCCTCAAGTTTCACCTTATCTTCATTGTTACATCTTTTTCAGCATTTCCTTTTGATTTCCACCGACCTGAAGTATGAAACGCCCTTAAAACGGCAACCAAGTTTCTACGGTTGGGAAGGTCTGAATCTCATAAATGGACAGTGGATGGACAAATCAGTGCCCTGATTGCTGGTTTGGAGTCCACTCCAGGAAGTCACCGGCCCTTAATCCCACCGACTGTCAACTGAGAAGGAGAAAACAGTGCACGCTGGAGTCTTAAAGTTCCTGTGGAGTGCCTAGGTTGAAAATTTTCCTTCTCGAGCCCTCTGCGACAGAGGGAGCAAACTGGGTTAAAGAGTTAAGCCAGGATGTGTGTGTCTCTGTGCATGTGTAGGGAGGATCATTTGAATGTGTGTTCATGTTTCAATGCATGGTGTGTGTTTCTGTGTTTATAAGATTCTGTGAACAAGAGCTAGGCCTGTGCTTCTGAAGAGGTCTGTGAGAAACGTGTAAGGACAAGATTTGAATTGGTGGTGTCAGTGGAGATCCCTTCAGCCCTTTCAGCTCTCGAGGGTTCTCCCCCTTCCTGTATGTTGGATTTTGTGTTTTATATTTACTGCTACTGTCCCCTGTATTTAATTAAAATTGTTTTCTATCGATGTCAACCTTGTCTTTTTATTTGCAAAATTTCCTGTCCCTTTGAAAAATAAAATAAGACAGAAAAGAGGGAAGAGAATTTAGCATCTTTAATGTTGATGAAAACTGAGGCTGTGCAGATTTCAAGACTTGATTTTGCCTCTTAGGTGTCTGGAAGTTGTATCACTTCTTTGAGTTTTAGGGTGTTTTCCTTCCCAGGTTAAATTAAATGGCAGTGCCGAGTATTGGCCCTGGAAACTCACACTTGATGATGATGACGATGATAATGTTGTTAGAGCACCTAATCAATGGGGTGTAATTGGGACAAAAGAGGAGGAAGGGGAGACTGGCATGGAGGATGTAAGAAATGAACAGAAACCACAAACTTTGCTTTTGTGTTGTTTGTAATCTAGTGGGGGGAGGGAAGAGAGTGGTTGATGGGAGTGCTAACCACATGCCAGACCCGATGTAGGTTACTGCAGGAGTGTCGGTTCATTTAGTCCTCACAGCCTCTCTATGAAGAATTATGATCCCATTTTATAGATGAGGACACAAAGGTCAAGAGAGATTAAACACACAAAGCTGGTAAACAGCAGAAGTAGAAACTGAATCCAAGTCTTTCTGATTCCCATGTCGTTGTTTACAAGAGGTAGGACTAGACACTGAAATCGCTGAAAGCTCACTTACTATTCTGAAGGAGACACTGCAGACAAAAGCATGATCATAGGATACTGAGTCGCCAAAGAAAGTCAGACTGCGCACATCTGGCCATAACAGCTGCCCCTTGGGTGCTTGTTGTAATGAAACTGGCATGTTTAATGCTTTGGGGGTGCTCTTTTGCGATATAAAAGTTACTCAAGGTATATCCACAAATTCATTCTGAAACATTACAAACGTTCAGTGGTGGCATTTATTTAAACATGTTCATCTTTCTCAGCTGGTGGGGATGAAACTCCAGGCTGATTTATTCATTAGAGCGGCGACCCGACCCAGATTCAGCACGTTTTCCAGTACTGCAAGCACTTCCAAAGCAAAAGGTAGCTAGGTCGTGCTAAAAACTGCTGGCTTTAGCTCGCTTGGCTTTCGCCTGGAGACAATGACTAGTGACTACCCAAAAAAGGTCAACACGGGAGGGCAGTCTAACTTACCTGAGAGAAAAGCGGTTGTGCGATGAGTTTGGGACCTCGGCACTTGCCGTAGCCCCTCCTGTTGCGGAGCCGGCCGCGCCTGCGCGCTGAGTTCCGGAAGTGGCGCTCAAGACCCCGGGACAGCGCGGCACCTCTCTTCAAAGCGGCGCCGGGCGTTGATACCCGTAGTCGCCGCCATGAGTCGCAACTACAACGATGAGCTGCAGTTCTTGGAAAAGATCAATAAAAACTGCTGGCGAATCAAGAAGGGCTTCGTGCCCAACATGCAGGTGAGACGGGGGGAGCGAGAGCCGGTGGCGGGGCCTTCCCGCCGGGGGCTCGCGGCGCCTCAGCCTCCCCCCGGGCCTCCTCGCCCTCCCGTTGCCCCACGAGCGCCGGGGCCGCCCCAACCCCGTCAGAGCCCCTCTCACCCCACCCTCTGGCCTCGGGACCGGGGTCCCGACCCCGTCTCCCCGCTGAAAGGTCTCCAGACCACGTGGACGAGCAAAGCGGGGTTTGTCTAGGCGGGTTCCCAGCAAGTGCGAAGGCGCCGTTGTCAGGCCCTTTTCACACATGAGGGTCACAAACGCACCGTGCGAGGCGTTCCATTCCCGGGCTTCGGGGACGTTCGTTGCCGTTGACGAGGTGGCGCGGCCAGTCCGGGGTAGAGTTGCTGGGACTGGAACTCCATTCCTCCGCGTCCTGCTGGTCATGTGACCTTTACAGATGCGGGTTCGCCCGAACCAGATGGTAGCATTCGCTGCTCCGCGTTGGTTTTTAATAAAGCGGTTTTGTTCCTCACGGCAGCCTGGAAAGTTCACAGGGCAGGCATGGGGGTGACACTGGTTAACAGAGGGGTGCAGGTTTCAGGTGCACAATTCTACGCGTCATCTGTGCCCTGCATTGTGTGTGCACCACCCCAAGTCAAGTCTCCATCTGTCACCATTTGTCCCCTCTTTACCCTCTTCTGCCTCATTGCCTATAGCCCCTCCCGCAGTCACCACACTGAAGCCCATCGATATCGTACAAGCACAAGAACACTGAGACCTTTGGGCGTAAGAGCAATTGAAAGACTTTTATCACCTGTACAAAGTGGTTTACCTGTTACATTCTTAAATGTGGCTTTGAGAATAGGAGAATGAATAAAACAATTGGTGAACCTTTCAAAATACTACATTTTTAAGATATACAGTTGACCCATGAACAACTCAGGTTTGAACTGCATGGGTCCATTTATACATGGATTTTTTTTTTCAATAAATACTATAATTTCCTTTTCTCTAGCTTACTTTACTGTAAGAATGTAGTACTAGTACATATACAAAGTACATGTTAACTGTTCATGGTGGTATCAGTAAGGCTTCCAGTTAGACTGTTATTCGTAGTTAAAAGTTTTGGGGGAGGAGGTTCAAAAGTTACACACAGATTTTCAACTACTTGGTTGGGGGAGGGGTTTGTCAGTGCCTTAAACCCCCACGTTTTTCGGGGGCAACTGTGTTTAAGGATGGGAACATCTTGTACTTTGTTATAGGAAGTTTTCTGCTTGTTTAAGGTAATGTGAAAGTATTTTGTAAAGAGTAAAGCAAAATGAATATTGCATACAGTATTTGTATTCTATCCAGTGTCTGTATGTCATGTACATGTGCTCAGACATAGTTCTTCATTTTCTTTGGTACCAGGTTGAAGGAATTTTCTATGTAAATGATGCTCTGGAAAAATTAATGTTTGAGGAATTAAGGAATGCGTGTCGAGGTGGCGGTAAGTGCATTAGAATTTTATATGTGGTCAAGTATGTCTTTCCTGTAGCCTGAAAAATATGGTAATTCAGATAATTATTTAAAAGTACAGAAATATTGTCAAGAAACGACCAAGACTTGAAATGAGACCCGAAAAACTGTTTTTAATTTGTGCTTATATTGTTAGCTAACGGACCTTGTAGAAACCATTTGGAGTTGGATGGAACTGGTTGGTTTTGAAGCCAACTTTGGATAATAATAAGAGCTATCATTTATTGTGCACTTACTGTGTGCCAGGCACTTTACCAGGTGCTTAGTTTAGGTTATCTCATGTAATTCTTAGAGGAATTCTAAGAGGAAGATACTATCTCCAGTTTAAAGATGTGCAAGTCAAGGATCAGTGAGGCTAACTAATTTTTAATTGTCAGAGGTTGCACAGCCTCTTGGTGACAGAGCCAGATTTCAGACCCAGAAGTAACTGATTCCAAAGTCAGTATTCTTAACCAGTACACTGATTAGCCTTAATTAATTCAGTTATCCCATCTATAAAGGACATTTTATTACACCTATTTTGCAGGATTACAGTGAACTTATGAGATAAATGTAAAAAGCTCTAATAGTAATGGTGGAGTTGATATCTAATGTTAATCCTTCTATTTTTTAGATCAACAAACTTAGTCCCACCTGCCTCCTGCCACAGTATGTTCACTTGCCTAAAATGACAGCGACCAAGGGACAGAACTGGAGCTAGAATAGAACCCCAGTTCCCTGACTCTTAATCCCGTGTTTTTTCAACTCTACATTGCCCCTCTTTGTCACTTAGAGTAAAACCAATATTGATGTTTTTTGATAAAAAAAAGGTGAACTATGAAAGAATACATTTTTTATATTGACAACATAATGTTTAATAATTGTGTTTTACATTTCCCAGTATTTTGCAAACAACCTTCCCTGGTTTGCACAGAACACTGACAGGTGTTTGTCATTAGTCTGGTCGCCCTTGCTGCCTCTCTGCGCAGGGGTCCTCAAACTTTTTAAACAGGGGGCCAGTCACCGTCCCTCAGACCATTGGAGGGCTGGACTATAGTTTAATAAAAAAACTAGTCGGCTGCTAAGCAACAGGCAGCAGCGGCAAAAACACCCGGCGGGCTGGATAAATGTTTTCCCCTGGCCGATGTGGCCCGCGGGCCGTAATTTGAGGACCCCTGTCTCTGCTGCCGTCTAAAGAAGCTGCCTTCACACTTCCATCTCAAATGTCCTTTTATATTGTTTTAGTAGCCTTATCACTTTCCTTCATGTAACGCAACCTAGAAATGTACAAATATACTTACTAAAAAGCAAATGTGTCCTCTAATTTTGGGTTTTTGTCTTCAGGTGTTGGTGGCTTCCTGCCTGCCATGAAACAAATTGGCAATGTGGCAGCCCTGCCTGGGATTGTTCATGTGAGTCAATGTTCAGAGCTTTAATCATTTATATTTTCTCTTAGTCTAAAAGTTTGTTGAATAGATACATGACCATGCCTAACTCTAGTGGTGTCATTTAGACCAGCGGTCGCCAACCTTTCAGACCTCGCAGACCACCGGTTGGCGACCACTGATTTTGAACATCTAGAAATAACCCTGGGACATAAAGAAATAATGGGCCTGAATAATATCACAGATTCTGGTTGCAGCCTATAAGCGTTTGAGAACTTTGGAAGTAGTTTTTAATGTGTTCTTGTTTTTTTGTCATTATACATCATTTTTTCCTGGATTAGTATACACCACAATTGTAGTTTTCACTGGCCCCATTTAAGAGAATGATTGGAGAAGGAACGGAAAGAAGTTTAAGGGTTGGGATTGAGAGGGACAGAGGACAGTATAGCTTTCTGGACATGATTGAAAAAAAGGGTAGTGATGAGGCAGAAAATTAGTTACAATACAGAGCAACCAGTTGCAGTCCAGGAGCCGGGGGAACCAGAGAAGGCTCCAACCCAGGAATGAATGAGGGGAGTGAATTAATGGAGCCCCAGTGACCTGGAGCTCCGGCCTCCGGCCCCAACAGAGGTGTTCTTACTCATTCTCAAGATGCTTGTTCTGGCCTTCAGGCTGTGGACGGGGTGGGGCCTCTCACATGACCCTGACCTCTCCCCCCAAAAGTCACTCCTCCCCTCCAAGCCATTCTGCGCAGACAAGGGGTCAGACCAGCATCCTGCTCAGGTTTCCCGACCTGTGCCGCCTTAGGCCTCACCCCTGCGTCTCCCTGTCTGCTGAGGGTATCACAGGGATGGTGGCCTGGGCCTCTTGCTCCTTTTGTTTAAGGGAACAAGTAAAATGAATGCTATTAGCTTGTACAGGAAAAAAAGAGAAAGAAAAAGGGTAGTGAAGGCAACAGAGATAAAACTGGATGGTATAAGTGGGCCCCCACTGCAGTCTAACATTCAGATTCCATCATTACAGGTAGATGTTAAAAATGAATCCATTCTACAGACATTTTTTGAGGTCTTAATGCCAGTTTCTATGCTGGGCAGTGGGGAGGCAGGGATAAAAAGACAGGGCTTATGGATATGAAGAACTCACAGGTGTCTGGTATCTCCATAAATCCTCACCCTGTTTTACCTGCATTCCTCCTGGATCAGGATCCCTTTCTAGGTCCCAGATGTAGAAAGTATACAGTATGCATACCATTAAATGGATTACATTTGTCTGTGATTGCTTAAATACCAAGGACCTATATAAATCGGATATTTCTCTCCTTTTAACCTGACATGACCACAATTTGTCAGTATCTATCTTTTGATGCCTTTAAAATGTGCTAGCACATCAAAGGTACTCTGTGGTCCACTGTTATCATGTTATACTGAGGCTTTTCTGTTTAGGTTTCCTTAGTTAATGGTCAGACTTTAGAAGAAGGATTTTTTCCACTGTATTAACTTCGTGATTAGGAATGTTTACACCTAATTTTCACCAATAGAGAATATTTTATGAAAATAGGATCTTGATTTGGGGAAGGCTTTAGCTTGCAGCCTCTCTGAGAATTAGTATCAGGATCATCAGGCAACCAGAGTGTCAGGTTAAAAAAGCTGTATTTCATTCTCTAACTCTCTTTCAGCGATCTATTGGGCTTCCTGATGTCCATTCAGGTTATGGGTTTGCTATTGGGAATATGGCAGCCTTTGATATGAATGACCCTGAAGCAGTGGTGTCCCCAGGTAAGGTGACTGCATGCTGCTGTCAAGTGTGTAGCTCCTCTCAGCGTATCATCGCCTCGGTGAACTAGAGCATGGCTGCTTCCTGTGTGCTTCTCTGTCTCACCCAACACTATCACTTCTTTTCCTCGTTTACTGAGAGAATTAATTGTGGACGCTCAGAGGCTCTTAAAATATCAAGTAAAGCATATAGTTATGAGAATGCTTCAGGCTCTTACTATATGCCAGGCGCTATTCAAACATTGGCTACAGAACAAACACTTTCCTGACAAAGTATGTATCTTTATGTCACAGTTACCTCTTGGGCAAATTGCAGCATCATTGTAAGGATTAAATGAGTTAAGCTGTGGAAAATACTTAGAACAGTGCTAGGCACATAGCAAGTACCCGGTGTTTGCTTTCATTGTCATCATTATTCACCTCCAGTGGTATATGTCTTTCCTGCTGTGTGTGCTTTCACTGAAAATAATTCACATCAGAATCTGAGGGGGGGGGGTATAAATTACATCTTGAGAGTTTTGCCTCTGGCACTGGTGAACATGGATGTTTCAGATAAATCCCTTGCTGGGAATAACCAGGAAGGCTAGATTTAAAAAATTTTGAAATCTCTTTGAGAGCTTGGGAAAGCTATTATGGCAGCAAGGATTTGTGAGGCTACAATCCAGAGACAAAAGTACAAATGCATGAGCCCCACATTAAATATTGTTTTTCTCGAGGTAATGGCAGCTTTCACTCAGTAAGGATATAGAGCAGGGTGGGCAACCTTTTTGTGAGTGCATGCCAAAACCAGCAAAATCTCTGACTCAAAATTCTTCTGCGTGCCAACCCTAATTTTTTGAGAACATGTTATGCCTACTTGATATCTCTTAAGGTGTACGTATGTGAAGAACCGTGAAGAAATAATAAAATTCATTCGAGCGACAAAAACACAGTATATGATGATGAAAGATACACTTATTTTTTAATGTATACATGTACACTGATAGTCCGACAGAAAACTTTATGACTTCGTTTGATATTATCAGTGGGACTTTTGCTGCTGCATCACTGATGACAGAGATTTTACATCAGGTTTATGTTTCGTGACCTTCAGAGATATGCACGAGCTACTACTATCATCCGTCAGGCTACTCCTATTACGAGACTTAACAGAATTCATCACTGAGAACAAAGATTCACAAGCGTATGTGGATGAAAACATGGAGAATAACGCTGTTGCAAAGTTTTTTAAACAGAAAAAATTTTCTGGAATGGCATTCCAAGTCCTCAATAGTTCGTTTTCAACACTATTGAAATTGTTCTTCCCCAATCTCGTCAATCCATGTCTATGGTCTTTAAGATAATTGTTATGTAAAATTATTTATTTATCTAAGATGCACCTACACTGAATTTATCTGAAAAATAAAAGAGTCGATATTAAGAAAAAAATTGTAAATGGAAGATTATAAGAGAGGGTTTCGCGTGCCAGCAAAAGTTACTGGTGTGCCATTTTTGGCATGCGTGCCAGGGGTTGCCCACCCCTGATATAGAGGATTTGAACAATGCAGTTGACAAATTTGACACCTTGACCTCTGATTTACATTCATGGTTGTGTGTATACAGCCATTCCAGTGCATCTAAGAACCATAGAAAACACATTTTTTTCAAGTGCACACAACAAGGAATCTAATGAAACAAAATAAACTGGTGAATAAAATAGAACCAGAGGCATGGAAACAGGGAACAGACTGATGAATCTCAGTGGGAAGTGGGGAGAGGAAGGGCGGGAAGAGATTAACCAAAGAATTTATATGCATATATGCATTACCTATGGACACAGATAATAGGGCAGTGAAGGCCTGAGGCAGGGCAGGATGGGGGCAATGAGGGGGGAAAAGAAGGACATTGGTAATATTCTCATCAGTAAAGATTTAAAAAAAGAAAAGGAATAGAATTCATAAACTTCAAACAAGAGTGATCAAGGAAAGAAACATAATCCACATTTTAATCTCTGGTCTAGATGTTATTCATTGTTCATTATTGCCTCTCTGGCCCACAAAGTACCTTTAGTATGTCAGTTACTTTACATTGTTTTGGTATCATCAGACTTTACCCACAGAGAACCCCTTTATTGGCCACTATAAAAAGTTACTTTTAAAAGAATGGCTGTCTTTAAACCCTCATCAGTGGTGGGCAACCACAGGTCACAATGCCCAACTGCCTGATTTTCTTAATAGTTACTGACTTTTCTCTGTTTTGTAGGTGGTGTCGGATTTGACATCAATTGCGGGGTTCGCTTGCTAAGAACCAATTTAGATGAAAGCGATGTCCAGCCTGTGAAGGAGCAACTTGCCCAAGCTATGTTTGACCACATCCCTGTTGGGGTGGGATCCAAAGGTGTCATCCCAATGAATGCCAAGTAAGCGCACAAGGTTCTAATAAATGGAGTGAGAGAAATAATGCCCATCAGACCCTCACAGTCATTTCCAATTCAGGACACTTAGGAGATGGGGATTGTTCAACCTCTTTACAGGAAGTGGTAACGAATTGGTTTTTTAAGCATAAGGTCTAGCCCACTTTGAAAAGCATGCCTGGAACATATAAATAAATACTCATTTTTATAAATTTTTAGATAGGAATTTTGTCCTATAAATAATGTTTGGAGTGGGCTGTAGCAGGCAGGAACATTGAACACTGCGATTTTTCCTGGCACTGTTTTGGAAGACATCTGTACCTTAGATGAAGATCAGAGAGAGCTTTTTCCTTCTAGGGGTTTTAATGTATGTGCATCTTGACTTCTAAATGCAGGTGCAGTAAAGCCATATTGTACTTCAGTGAAGGTAGGAATAGAGCTTAAAACCTGTGTCGCCTAAGGACATTTAGATAGTTTTATGTATTATTTGACTAATTTTCCATAAATTATTAATGAAGGCAGGTAGCTGTGGTAAAGTTAATGGTAAATAGTGACATCTGAGTATGGTCATAAATCTTTGGCTGCTTGATTAGCACCTCATGGAATGCAGGATCAGAGAGGCAAATCTAATGTAAATAAGATTTGAAAACTATAAATAAAGGGCTATGTAAATGTCAAGGAAGAACTGTAATCATCTCTGATGTAGCATTTACTGTTTTACATTGCAGTTATTTATGAAGCTGCTTTCCTCAGAAAACTTTAAAGTTGCTGAGAGCATAAACTTTCTATCTGGCACAATGCCTGGTACACAGGCGATAGTTGGTAAATGTAGCTTTTCCTCTACCCTTTGAGATTTCCATCATCCCTAGGTTTTGATCTGCCTTGACTGTGAAATGACCAGCACCTTATTGCTCACTCAGAGACTTGGAAGAGGCCTTGGAGATGGGTGTGGACTGGTCGCTAAGAGAAGGCTACGCCTGGGCCGAAGACAAGGAGCACTGTGAGGAGTATGGAAGGATGCTGCAGGCTGACCCCAATAAGGTCTCCGCGAGGGCGAAAAAAAGAGGCCTTCCTCAGGTAACACTCACTTTGGAGGGGGACATGTTAATATTTTTCATAGTATTTTTTTGTTGGTGGTGGAAAAAAATGTGTCTTCTATGTAGGAAATACACATCCCCCGGTTTTTTCAGAGTATATCAGATTGAGCACAAATTTGTTTGTGCTTCGTTCTTACTCTTTTAAAAAGTTATCAGGATCTTGCCAATTTTCATAAGATAAAACAAGATACCATGAATTAGTGGATGGGAAAAAATGGGATCAGGCTTAAAATGTATGCTAAAATTGCTTTGACAATCTAAGATTTGGCTGAAAGTTTTCTCATATCTAAGATGAAAAGAGATGCCTTGTCAATTATTGGTATCCATGAGATAAGAATATACCAGATATTACAACTAATTTTGATGGCTTTGCCAGTAATTCACTGTGACCTTGGGCAAGTCTTTTTTGCCTATTTGGGTCTCATTTTCTCATCTGAAAATTGGGATAGTTAAAAACTCTTCAAGCACTGCCATACTCTGGTTTCCTAAATCATCTATTAGCTCCAGTTAAGGGACATAGACTTTCAATGATGGATAATGATGTCAGTGAACTCATAGTTGTTCATCTCCAAACTTGACCCTTCTCCCAATAATGTTTAAAATGTCATTTGAGCCACTTAATGGTATGGTTTTTGGTTTGTGAAGCTTTTGATATGTGTGTTCCTCAAGCAGATAATGATACAGTAAACTTCAGGAGCTGCTCTGCCTTATCTCTGTTGTGTGGACTATTGCTTAAAATGAGTGAAGCATTTCAAAAGATTAAAAATATTTTTGTTACATAAAACACTATTTGTGTGATTGTTTTCTTGTTTTGTTATTGTTTGTTTACCTATTTACTTTTAAATGGATTTTTTATCAGATTAGAAGCTATTTTACCAGACATTCTTGTATTTTCAGTTGGGGACCCTGGGAGCAGGTAACCACTATGCAGAAATCCAAGTTGTAGATGAGATTTTCAATGAGTATGCTGCTAAGAAGATGGGCATCGACCATAAAGGACAGGTGTGCGTGATGATCCACAGTGGAAGCAGAGGCTTGGGCCACCAAGTAGCCACAGGTATATTCTGGACCTAGTTTTTTTCTTTTTTTAAAATATATTTTTATTGATTTCAGAGAGAAGGGGAGAGAGAAGAGAGAGAGGAGAGAGAAACATCAATGATGAGAGAGAATCATTGATCAGCTTGCCTCCTGCATACCCCTCTTCCCCCCACCCCACCCCCCCCACCCCCCACTTGGAACTTAGCCCACAACCCAGGCATGGGTCCTGACTGGGAATCGAATTGTGATCTCCTGGATCATAGGGTGATGTTCAACCACTGAGCAACACTGGCTGGGCTGGACCCAAATGTACGTTTTATGGGGAACTATATAGAGATTTAAGAAAGAAAGCTCTAGAGCTATCCTGTGTAGATTTTTACCCTGGTTCTTCTAACTAGACCTTGAACAAATTAACTTCACTAGGCCTTAATTTCCTTGTCTGAAAAAAAAAAAATGGGAATAATAATTATTTCATATGGTTTTTTCATAGGAGATTAAATGAAATATATGTAAATTACTTACATCAGTGTCTGATGCTTGGTACTCAGTAAATGTTGGCTCCAGCTGTTTTGTTGTCCTCTTAAAATTATTATCTGGCTGAGAAAGAGCAGGAAGGACCTTAAATGGGGAATTTATGTTGTAGACATAATATAACAAATATGTCTTAAATTTACATACTGATTAGGTGTTACAGTGGATTCTGTGATGGAATAGGCAAGAATTCTGCCCTCACATTGTCTCATGAGAGATATGTGATGTTCATTACAAAGAAAGGGTAAAGACAGAAGGTAGTAATGGATTAAATATTATAGAAGAGACAAAGGAAAAACATGCCAGTATTTCAGAAGTGGCTTCATGGCCACATAATGTTTGCAGTTTGGACAGTCATAAACAAAGGACACTCATGACCAAAAGGCAGCATGAACAAAAATAGGAAGCAGGGAAATAGTAGGAAGATCGCTCTGAATACTTAATAGAATGTTTGAAAGGATTTATGAATATATGAAAATTTATAGAGATATGGAAATTATTGTGAACTTTAAATTGCATATTATAGTTCATCCTTATATGTACATTTCATCCTATGAGAATTTAATAATTTGTGCCAGCCTGACCCCTTAAAATATTTCATGTAGCAAATATATGGAGCATTTACTAGAATTTTTTAACTTTATGCTGAGTTCTTCTCTACACTTGTCATGGATTTGATTTTCCTCCAGGTCTGGCAACTTGTATCCAGTTCTTTTACACTAAGTCACTAAAAATTATTTTTAAAAACCATGATGATATAAAATGTTTACTACTTCTGTTCTTATTCATTTACCTGCCAGTAAAGGAGTAACTAGTACATGTTGTTGCTGTGCGTGTACATACCTTTTTTCCCTTATAAGTCCCTGGAGGGCAGATGTTGTCTTTGTAGCCCACTTAGCTTGTGTCACAGTTCTGATAGAAAATAGTCTCAATAATATATCTTGACCAAGCCAATAGATGAACTGAGAAACACTTCAAAGGGAAAGTTGTATTTAACTTCTTTTTTTTATAGAATGGGTTTGAATGTATCGTACCTTTCTGTAATAAATCTGAATTATTTCGTGAAAGCTGGCTAGTTTGGACTTGCTACTCTCTTGTTCCAGATGCCCTGGTTGCTATGGAAAAAGCCATGAAGAGAGACAAGATTATAGTCAATGACCGTCAGTTGGCTTGTGCTCGAATCGCTTCTCCAGAGGGTCAGGACTACCTGAAGGGAATGGCAGCAGCTGGGAACTATGCCTGGGTCAACCGCTCTTCCATGACCTTCTTAACCCGTCAGGTACTTGAAGTTGCTCTTCTGTTCCAACTTACTCATGATGAAGTTAAGTGCTTTAAACAGTGTAGTCAAATCAGGGTTTTGGAAAATGTGGTTTTGGAAATTTATATAATAAATATTTAAAATATTGGCACTGTAAGCTTTTGGTATCTCCTTAAAATAAATAAGCAGACTCTCAGGTGTGGGGAATGAGGGAAGAAAGAAGCCAACATTATTCCTGGAATTTTCCTTGAGCCTGGAGAGGCTAGAAGTACCATTCACTACGATTCAGAAGGCTGAGGAAGAGTCAGTTCTGAAGGGAGGGGTCAAGAATAGTCAAGAAGCTTTCCAGCCAAACTTGGAATTTATGGAATGGAATTCCTAGGTGGTCTAAAAGACAGTTTTTACCTTTACGTGAAGATGAGTAATACTACTGTTTTTGAACTCTTAAATCCCTCGCTCCCTTCCGGAACAGACTCGCTGGGATCAGTAAGATGAGTTTTGAAGAGCTGGTTCTGGCTGCATTTAACTTAAGCTTTTTCTTTTAGGCTTTTGCCAAGGTATTCAACACAACCCCTGATGACTTGGACCTACACGTCATCTATGATGTTTCTCACAATATCGCCAAAGTGGAACAGCATGTGGTGGATGGAAAGGAGCGGACCCTGTTAGTACACAGGAAGGGATCCACCCGAGCTTTCCCTCCTCACCATCCCCTCATTGCTGTTGATTACCAAGTACGTGCAAAGCATTTGTGGTTGCAGGCAGTGGGTGCATGACTTAGCTAGTTCTAAAGATGGTTAATTTAAATAGGAAGACAGCAGTTATGAAAAGAAAATCTGTCATCCATGAAAACTGATTTCTAATATCTGAAGCAGACTCTCCCCATCATCTATTCTCTAGATTCTGTTTTTAAGTACTTTGAATGATTGGAAGACAGGATTAAGATTAAACTCAATCTGTTTCGTTCTTTTTATCTTTTTGGTGTCTGACTGTGATGGCGTTAGAAAGACCTTAACCTACTCCCATTTCACAGATGAGGAAACTGAAGCCTGGAGAGGCAGGTGCCTCACTAGGATGGTTCCTCCTAATGACCTTTCCCTGAATGCTTTGCTCTTGCATTCAGTCTGCCTTCTGCTGCCTTACCGGTCTTCCCATTTTTATTCCCTTCATCTTTCCTCCCTTCTCTATTATCAAAGAATCAAAATAATGTCAATATAGTTGTGAGAGAAATGCAATAGAAGCTCAGGTTTCTCCCACAATCCTCCAATATAAGAGGCAATTTAAATCTCAGGCATAAAAAGCTCATGCTTTTCTGAATTTTAACATGTTTGATCTGTGTGCATCCTCAGCTCACTGGACAACCAGTGCTCATTGGTGGCACCATGGGAACCTGTAGTTATGTTCTTACTGGCACTGAGCAGGGCATGACTGAGACCTTTGGGACAACCTGCCATGGAGCGGTAAGGAAAATAAAAACTTACTTAGAAATGCTCTCTTCTGTTTAGTCATTGTTTTGAATTTTAAGAAGTAAATGTACTTGATTGAGCATTAACAAAGTTGAGGTTTGGGTCTTGTCGTCTACCTGAATTTATCCCCATAATATATACTGTCTGGTGAACCAACCGAAGTCATCTATTATCTCTACTAGCAGGGTCATTGTCAGGCCAGCAACTATTTCTGATTTCTGCAAGTCCACAAAATCCAGATCTCAGTCACACTAGCCTAATTGGTACAACTTTAACTGATGCAGGTTTACCTCACAAGTTATCTCATTCACCGGACCTAGTCATTTTCATAATTTGCCCCTTACGGGTGGGTCCAGTCAAGATTTGTGGGATATGCCCTATTTGCAAATCAGAGCCTTTGGGTAGACTGCATAATTATATCAACATATTGCCTCTTCTAAGCAAGGCATTGGTAAACTTTTTTCTATAAAGCAACAGACTAAATATTTTAGGTTTTGGGGGTCATATGGTCTGCGTGACAGCTGTTCCATTGTGCCATTGTAGTGGAAAAGCAGCCATAGACTGTACATAAACAAATGGGCATTGCTCTGTTCCAGTAAAATTTTATTTACAAAAACAGCTGTGGTAGGCCAGATTTGGCTCGCAAACCAGTTTGCCAAGCCCTGTGCTAAGCCATTAGCGTGCTTAGCTAGTGCTGTAGTAGAAAATAGAAGCTGTCTAGAATACCCTCACATAGCACAAACTGTCACAAATATGTTTTAATCCTACTCTTTTCTCTAATCCTTTTTCATTTCCAGCTGCCTCCCAACTCCTAATTTTAACCCAGTGATTAAAACCAGTATGACATGTCATACACACAAGCATCATCTGGGGTATTTTTTATTGTCACGCTTGGGGAGGGGAGTTTTGCTCTTGGCATCTGGTGGGTGGAGGTCAAAGATGTTGGAAAACATCCTACAATGTACAGGACAGCCCCCACAACAAAGAATTATCTGGTCCAAAATGTCAGTAAGGCTAAGGTTGGCAGACTTTTAAACCATAAAGAGTACAAAGTGCCGAAACCGGTTTGGCTCAGTGGATAGAGTGTCGGCCTGCGGACTGAAGGGTCCCAGGTTCGATTCCGGTCAAGGGCATGTACCTGGGTTGCAGGCACAATCCCCAGTGGGAGATGTGCAGGAGGCAGCTGATTGATATTTCTCTCTCATCAATGTTTCTAGCTCTCTATCTCTCTCCCTTCCTCTCTGCAAAAAATCGATAAAATATATTTAAAAAAAAAAAAAAAGAGTACAAAGCTTTTGTTACAGCAGACATACTGTTTACAATTAAAAATTAATGTGTTCATATTGAGTTGATAACAGTAATGAGAAATACAAAATTAAATTTATAAAGTGAAGTTCATTTCTTTCCCAATCTAGGGCCGTGCATTGTCCCGAGCAAAATCTCGACGTAACTTAGATTTCCAGGACGTCTTAGACAAATTGGCAGATATGGGAATTGCAATTCGTGTTGCCTCACCCAAACTGGTTATGGAAGAGGTAAGTGACAAAACCTTACTTTTTAATAACTTTATTTTTTTTTCTCTGATTTTAAGAACAACACAGATTTAATTAAGAGATTTTAGGGAATACAAAAAAATCTAGAATTCCACCAACCAGAGATAACTAACTACTCTTAGTATATTTTTTACCTGCATATTTTACAATATTTTTATTCAGTTATTTAGCTAATACTTATTAAGCATCTGCTTTAGTTAGGTACTGTTTTAAATGCTAGGAATACTGCAATGAACAAAACTAACATAAATCCCTTCCTTATGAAACTTTCCAAAATAGTAAAAACAATAGTGCATTAGATAATAAGTACTACAAAGTAAAACTAGGAAGGGAGTTACGGAGAGATTGGGAGTGGGTACAATTTAAATAGGGTATGGTAAGGTGATGCTTGAATGAAGAGATGAAAGGAGTGAGCAACAGGCTATGTGGGTATCTAGGGGAAAGCTTTACAGGCATAGAGAACAGCAGGTGCAAAAATCCAAGTGAGATTATGCTTGGATGTTTAAGAAACAACAGTTTTTCAGAGTAATAGGCCATAGGGCCAGCAGCTGAGAGTGAGGACGAAGGAGAAAGTATGACATAATTAACTAAAAGAGAGAGAAAGTAATTGGTCTAGTGAAATTTTAGGTAATTTGCCAGGACAGCACCAAGGACACACTTGAGCTAAATTCAGTGGTTGGGGGTTGTCAGGTGCATTCAGTTGTAGAAGTGCAGGCATGAAGTAGAGGTTGGGTTACCTTTTATATGTTTACTAGAAGCCCAGCGCACGAATTCGTGCACAGGTGTGGTCTGGTTGGCAGGCCCCAGCCCCGATGGGGTTACAGGGGCCGATTGGGGACAGGAGGACCAAGGGAGGTTGGCCGGCCAGCCCTGCCCCCATTGGGCCAGTTGGCCAGCTGTAGTGCGCATCATAACGACCAGTCGTTCTGGTCGCTTGGCTTTTATATATATAGATTTTTTATTTTAGATAGAGAGGAAGGGAGAGGGACAGAGAGATAGAAACGTTGATCAGCTGCCTACTGCACGCTCCCAACTGGGAATCAAGCCCACACCTGGGCATGTGCCCTGACCAGAATTGAACCATGACCTCCTAGTTCATGGGTTGATGCTCAACCACTGAGCCACACTGGCTGGGCCAACTTGGGTTACCTTTAATCAGGGTTGCGAGTGCAGCACAGTGAATAAGAAGCAAGATTGTTGAGGGTGTTGCTAAGAGATTGTAGGTCTCATGGGTTTGCAGGATTACCAGAGATAGAACACGATGGAGAGAGAGCTGGAAACCTAGGCTGTAATCACCAGCCTTGGAACAGATAATGAAGGACTTGTGATCATTGGTAATAAATTCTGGGGTATGACCCAGGGAGAGAATGGCCAGGGTAAGCATTGAAGGAACAGAAGTCAGTGAACTAAGAAGCCAGGCTACTTGAAAGAATCCTCTTCCTCAAAACTGAAATCACTCAGAATTATAGCAGGAGAGAGTAACAGTGAGCAAGGGGCTAGAAATCTTCACGGAACGATGGGGAGTGATTGAGACTAACAGATAATTGCAACAAAAAGAGGTAGTAGATGGTAATAAATGCTGACTGCAAGATTCAAAACTGGTAGTGTTTAGGGAGGAAGGAGGGAGAATGGTCTGTAAAGAACCAGGAAGAGCAAGGACACATGTCCCACTCCTCAGCCTAATGGCATGACCTAGTCTGAGAAAGAAGATAGCTACCATTTCAGAAAGTTGGAGGCAGAAGTAACATCCTCAGGGGAAATCCATGATTCAGCAAGAACGAAAAGGTGAAGGGAATGTTAAAGAAGGAAAGAGGGAAAGGATTTTGCACTTGACTCAATGGAAGGAGTTGGAGAGACCACAGTGGAAAAGTCTCAGAAATCAGAAGAGAACAGAGATGGGCCAGAAGGGGGTATGTACGGAACTGTGTACAGAGCTCTATGCGAATAGGTCTGGGAGACCTGAGCTGCTGTGTTGACGTAAATGGAGATAAAGGGTGTATGTGATGAGATTCATTCTAATGGTGGCAAAACAGTGAGTGTGGGTAGGAAGAAAGGAAGGGAGGTCTTGCTAGAAATCCGCAGAATTTGTGTGTGTACATATATACACATATATGCAAACACATACATAGTGTTAGTTATATATATGAATTTTATAACTCTCCCTTCTTGTGAAGATAATACATGTTAATTCCAGGAATTTTGACAACTACCAATAACTCCACCATCTAAAGATATTTACCACTAATAGGGTGGTTGGTGCATTTCCTTCCAGTTGGGTATTAGTGTGCATGTTTCATTCAGTTGTGTTTGCTGCTTTTCTTAGTTATTCAAGTGATACATGTTCTTTAGGGAAATCATGAGAAATTTCAAAAAAATATAAAACAAGATGAGAGTGTTTATCTTACTACCCCTTTACCAACATGAACTTAATTATCTTTTTAATCTTTGCTTATTTGATAGGGAGGGAAAGTCTCAGTATTGTTTTAATGTGCATTTCTTTAATTACAAGTGAAGTTTAACTCCATGTTTAACTCCACTCCTGCAGGCTCCTGAGTCCTATAAGAACGTGACGGATGTGGTGAACACCTGCCATGATGCTGGAATCAGCAAGAAGGCCATTAAACTGAGACCGATTGCTGTTATCAAAGGGTAGAGCCCTGACTGTGGCCATGGACTCCAATGCCCTTACTGAAGTGGACGTCGACCGAAATGCTCTTCAGATATCAGAACTCAGAGACCTGACAGGTTCCAAAGTGTGTTGCTGTAACCGCCCATTGCAAGTGGCTGATGGGGAGGCTGATGCCTGGGGAACCAGTGTTATAAAATCACCTTCTGGGAGGAGTCACATGGTCCCCATTTGGAAAGGGATGCATACACTTCCTCCCTGGTTGTCCACAGATTTTTAGGGAAACCTGTTAGTGGATGGGTGTGGTTCAAGAAACCACCTTACTCAGTCATACTAATCTGTAACCATCAGAATGAACTTCTTTACACCAAGCTCTTCTCTACATCCTGAGAGGTGTCATGAAGAACATTCTGTTAAACGAGAAGGTTTTAGAATGTTTCTGCCCTCCTTTTGCCACTTTGTCCATTTATCCACTGTCTACCTCCTTCCCCTGCGCTGAGCAAAATCCTACCACTTTTACTGGGAGAGTATCCACAGGTCATGTCAGGATGTTAGATGATTGGCTGATGGGACACATTGAGGAGGGAATATGTGTGGCAGTGTGGGAATAGGGACCCAAAAGAAAAAGTAATTTTTCATAGAGTTGCTACCTCTCTCATTCCAAATATAAGGCAGAGTTTTGACTTAGTCTGCAAAATGGCATTGCTGGTATCTGTCATTAATTATGCCTGGTCTGGCAAACCTTTCTTAAATAATAACTTGCACTACAGCAGCAATACCTTTACATGGGTGATGGAATCATTATAAAAGCAGGAAACGGCCACATCTGTGATACTGGTTGCTCAGTGTTGACAAGTTGACTAGTTTTGTGCCATCTAATCACATTTCATGTTATGTACTGACACCTTCAAGATGTTAAAGTAGGTTACTAAGGCCTCAGTTGAATCCAAATAGCCAATAAAGAGAAAAGTCTAATAAAGTTGTAATAGGTTGTTTATATTTTGTTTAATATTTTATAGCTTAGGTCAATTAGTATTTGTACTTGTGTCACTTTGGTCAATGTTGATGTTTTCTGATTGTCTCCCAGGATGCTTTCAGAGACTCACCCTAAAAAATATTCTTACAACTCATCCCACAACTTAAAATAACTCTCCTCCCTCTCTCCCCCCACGCCCCCATTGGACTATCTTCTCTAGATGCTATTTGGAAGGCTAGAGAAAAGCAGACTTCCTCTGTAAAATATATGATAGGAAATAACAGCATGGCTTTACTCTGAGCACTCAGTAACTTAAAACATTTTTTATGGTAGAGCTTGAAAGTTATCAATAAATATAAGTTAGGAATCAACATAATAATTATAGATTACTTGTGCCTTCAGATTGGACCAGTAGCTGTACACAGAAGACTTAAGGGTACAAGTTACCAGTGAATGCTGGAGGGCCTTTAATTTAAAGATGAGAAACAGGCTCTTGGCAGGTGCTGGATTCTCTGGAGATGAGGCAACATTGGAGTGTCCATGTAGACTTCCTGAAACTGGGCTTGTCTAATGGTATGTCATTTGAGACTAATTTAAAGCAAGGTTTCCTCCCAAAACTAACTGATGTCAGTGCAAGAAATGCTACAGATGAACTTAGATACTTTCAGGTTTTTTAGACACTTTAAAATTCTTGACCAACTGGTACGGCTCAGTAGTTGAGAGTCAACCCATGAACCAAAAGGTCACAGGTTCAGTTCCTGGTCAGGGCACATGTCCAGGTTGTGGGCTTGATTCCCAGTAGGAGGCATGCAGGAGGCAGCCACTCAATGATTGTCTCTCATTGTTGATATTTCTATCCCTCTCCCTTCCTCTAAAAAAGACAAGTGTGGGTGGGAAAAAAAAAAAGTTACTCTTCAGAGAAGGGAGCAGGTAAGGGGAAATACAGAGAATAGTTTATGCAGTGGCACTTCTGCTTTATTAGCTTCTCCTATATGTAGCATTTCCAGTGAAGTTGGCCCTATTAATGACCACAGAAAGTAATGGTTAATATTTTGAGTTCAAAAAGAAAGGTATAAACATTGTTTCCCTTGTTCTAAAGATGTTACTCTCCCATTTGAGGCAAAAAGCCACTTTAAAATAAATGTTCCAATGAAGCTGAAGTAGCCAGCTGTTTTTATTGCCCGGAATAAAAATACTCCATGCCTCTACATGTGCACGTAGCTAGGAGCTCCCTCTGATAAGCCCCTGTCGGGTTTATGAAGATGAGTCCTAATACTGTGCACATCTTGGTCCCTTTAAAAGGCCTCTTAAGTCAGCCGGTTTATAATTAATATTCTCAAAAGCACTGACATTCACACTGATGATGGGCTGTGATATTCCTGTTGTCTGAATGTAGTTAGGAAAACAGTTCATGAGACAGACAAAATATGGACACCAATTTTCTAATTTTGTGAGTTTCCTGGAGCAACAAAGAAGTGAAGGTTTAAAAATTCAACAAAATCTTGCAGATCTTAAGACACTCCCACTTTAATCTTCATATAACCTTTGAAAACTTGAATACAAGATAACATGTTTTTTAACTTTTCCTGTTTTTTCTGCTTAACACTTCATTTTATTTTCATGTTCACTATCAGGTTTTTCTCCTACTTCTGAAAATTGCTTGTCAGCATCATTGATGTTGCAGAAACTTTCACAACCCTGTGCAAAACTCACACAGCCTATTTTGTCCTTATTTTCTACTCACAGTCCTTACTCTTTTTGCATCTGCTCCAATGCTTGACTATATGGGATTTTCATGTTGTCCAGAGAACATGACTTGTGCCCATCTTGATCAGTTGAGTTATGAAGATGCTGTTAATTATCCATCAGGCACCTTGGAGCATGCCAAGTCATTATGATAGATTCTGATCTTTAAAAGCTCTTGCTCTAAAACTAACATCTGAAACACCGGCGATCTAAAAAGATAATGTTACTAGGGGGCATGTTATAGAGAAGTGTGTGGTGACTCAAGTTCTACCTTGCACATAGGTAGTAAGTGAACAAAGTGCCAAGCACTAGGTGATCACAGTTACCGTGACCAATGGTAGAACGAGCCATGTCTCTGGAAGGCAGAGAGCAACACAGCACCATCTCAGATGTTCCTGTCAAGAGTGCATGGCCTGAGTCAGCAAACATCAGAGGGACCCACGTCGAGGGTCCTCCTGCAGAATGAAAGTCTGTACACTCAAAACTGTCCAGGAAAGGGAAAGACTTAAAAATTGTTCCAGAGTCTGAAAACACATGACAACTGAAAGGCAATATATATTCTGGATAGTATCCTGGACGAAATGGGAAAAACTGACCTTGTTGGGGCAGGTGGTGAGATTAGAATAGAATCTATACGTGGGTCAGCAGTGGTGTGCCTTGGTTGATTTCTTGGTGGCAGTTACGCAGGGTAGTGCCCTTGTGTTATATTGTGATTAATAAATAATATATTTGGTTGTTTCTGGCACAGAGTTTCTAAAACCCTTGGAATTTCCTAAGTGCTAAGAGGAATAAAAGTGTCTCATTATTCATAGCAAGTCCCTTTCAACTATAACAGTTTATGCTAATGAGGTGATTTTTGGAAAGTCCCTAAGTATGGGGGCCGGTTGCCTAGAGAACCAACCTTGTGATTAGAAGGATGGAACATTCGGCCCCAACCCTGACCTCCAGGGAGGGGAGGACTGGAGATGGACTTCAATCATCAATGACCAGTGATCTAATCAATCATGCCTACATAATGAAGCCTCCATAAAACAACACAAGGACCAGGTTCAGAGAGCTTCCACAACACATCCCAGTGCCTACAGGGTGATGCACCCCAGACTTAAGGCACAGAAGCTCCTGTGTTTGGGACCCTTTCAGACCTTTCTTCATGTGGCTGTTCATTCATATATATAATATCCTTTGTAATAAATCACAAATCTAGTAAGTAAATTGGTTTCCTTAGTACTGTGAGCTGTTCTAGCAAATTAATCAAGGAAGGGGTCATGGGAACCTTTGAGTTTCAGTCACTCAGTCAAAAGCACAGGTAACCACCTGGACTTGGATTGGTGTCTGAAGTCTTCTGGGACTGAGCCCTTTACCTGTGGGATCAGAGGCTATCTCTAGATCAGTGGTGTTAGAATTAAGTTAAATTGGACACCCAGCCAGTGGCCACTAAAAATTTAAGAAGTGCTTGGTGGTATTGGAAGAACACATGTCAGTCCTTATTTGGAAGAAATGAGTGGCTCACTCATGTTTAAAGATTCAGAAAACTAATGATAATTAGTACTTAATTATTCAGAGTGGGCAAATGCGGTAAGGTAAAATATAAACAGGGAATGTGGGTGAATGGGGGTGTGGGAGTTCTCCGTACTGCTCTGACAACTTTAAGTTTGAAATAATTTAAAAATTAACTTACAAATAATTTTTTAGGATAATCTCCTATACAAAGTATTTATGGTAGGTCATTTGCCAGCAGGCCACCGCAGTTTTCTCCTATCCTGGGTTCCTCTGCAAGGTGGCTTTCCCCCATCAAGAGGTGGACCCTTCCGTCTCAGTCTGCACTGGCCTTGTGACTTGCTTTGACCAAAAGAATGCAGACCCTCCAACGGCCTAGCAGCCTCCATTCTTTCCCTCTTGCTGCTCTGAGATTGGTACTGAAAGAAGCCCAGACCTCCTTGGGGACACAGGACCATAAAAAGAGAGACCATCTTAGGCCATCCAGCAATTCTATTTCTCTGATAATAAATCATGGCTGTTGTAAGTTTTGGAGTGGCTCATTACACAAATTAGAAAACCTAGCATATTACTGTTTCATTATACATAAGAATGTAATCAACATTAACTGCTGAACAGGAGTTTTCCTCAGTATCAATACAGTGGTTATATTTCTCTGCAAAGCTATCCCTGTCTTCCATTAGAGAATTGCTTTGCACATGGGTTAATAGTGATAGAACTTTCTAGTTGATGGAGATCTTATACCTATGTGGCCTCGTTTCACCTTTACTGTAAGACTGTGAGATGGAATAGGTGTTACTACCCTGAATTCTACTGATGAAGAAATAAGTTCAGAGAAAGTGCTGAGGTCAGGACTGGAATCTTGGAATCTAGATCCTTTCTACTTTGTCAAGGTATAGCTGAAGTCGTGGGCCTTCTGTAAGAACACGTCCTCTCCCTCACATGTCAAACCAGAATTATATCAGGAAGTGCTCTCACGTTCCAAATCAACCTTGATTCCTGTGCAGCTAAATGGGTGTTGGGGGTGTGGGGGTCCCCTAAATAGCCAGGGCCCCAAATGTACTTTATTCTACTTGTCCCTTGCTTTGTTTGTTTTGGTTTTTCCTAGGTGGGTATTGAGCTGTGAGTCTTCAAATAGGCTGTTAGGATTGAAAGTGATGTAGTCATTTGAATCTGCAAAGGACTACTTCAGAACAGTGAAAGAAGAGATGGTGGTTGAAAATAAGGGTGGAAAGTGATTGAATTGCAGAAATCCTGGTTTTATTTTTCTTAGCCATGATCACCAACTGAAACATACATATTTATGCTTGTTTATTGACTCTTCCTCTTCCTAATATTAAGCTCCATGTAGGCAGTCAGTACGTGCTTGCTGATTGATGAATGGATGGATGGACAGATGGATGGATGAAGACCAACCAGACACAGTTTGCTACCACCTGTCTGTGTGATAAGTGCTTCGCCTCTCTAAGCTTCAGTCTCCTCATCTTTAAAATAGAAGTGATATATAATACCTACATCATAGGAATGTTGTGAAGATCAGATGAGAGTAGTACATTTAAGGGCCAGCCCGCCTTCTCATCGGTCCTCAGAAAATGTTAGCTAATGGGAAATTTCTGTCAATGGAGGTGTTTTAAGAGAGAACAGATACACTTCTGCCCTCTATGGTTTAATCCTTCATTTCACTAAAACCCCCAGGGTTAAACCAGGTCATTTCCCAAGGCGCTTTCTGGTCCTATGACTGAGATAGGATTCCTTCCCCAGAGATTTCCACTGTCAGGGAAATGAGAAATGTCTTCAGAAGTGGCCCCTTCAAGGCTTGCTCTGTAGGCAAAAACCAGTTTGGAGAGTTTTCTCGTCTGGCTGCACCTTCTGCAGCATCTGCGGTTTCGCTCTGGCCCTGGTTAATGACAGCAAGTAACCCAACATGAAAAGGCCGCTGACAGGTTTTCACAAAAGGACGCAGCTAAATAGCTACGAAAGGATTAAAAACCAATCTCACCACCCAGACAGCCTGGGCATCAAACACACACATAACTCAGCAATAATAATCAAAGAGCTGGAAATAGTTCTATGGTTTCATGGACCAATAAAGAAAATATAAAGCAACTTTAGGCCCTCTGCCCTCTCCCAGCAGCCGGTCGGTCCGCCTGATGGGATGAAAGGGTTGGCAATGGCTGATAGGGCCTAGGGGCAGAGCCTGCCTTTTTAGCAATCACTCTGCAGGGAAGGATTCCACCTCAGCCCACATTTCCATCAAAAGTCATTCCCAGCGTGACACGTGGGCTTGTTACCCATTTCTGCAGATGACAGTGATAACCTCGAGAGCTTTGAAGAAAACCTTTGTCTAGACAGAAACAGCTCAGAACGCTTTTGAAAACGCACCATCTGACACATCTTGGTTGGCGTGCTTATAGCTGAGTAACGCTGACTCATCCTGTGAAATGCCTTTCCAGCTTGATAGGACTTCGCTCTCAAATTCAAGCTAAGGCTTATAGCACCTGGAGTCAGAAGAATGACAGTTCAGCGCAATGGTCCAGGGTTCAAGTTATGCTACTGACAGATCAGCAACTGCTGACCATAGAAGCAGACGATCCAGATGAATGAAGGATGCCTCAATTCCACTCTCCTCCAAGCACTATTCTTTCCTAGATTATCCTGTTCTTCCCTTGCCCCCAGAAATTTCACAAAGGGAAGAAAGTACTAAGGTACTATTTTCTTTCTCTCCAGCCCTTAATTCTTACTCTGCACTGGTTGCTCTGTTGAAGTTTTTCTATATGAAAAGAGGTTTTTTGTTCTGTTTGTTTGTTTGTTTGTCTCAGAAGCCACACACAAAAGGAAATAAATTAGTGAGCATCTATTATTTGCTGCCAGACTCTTGGGCAAGGTGTATTGCATATATTAGCATTATCTC